TTCTTAGCCTGTAAGGTAATTAATTGTGTTTAAACTTTTAAATATCTAGTCCTTCCCTTTAGTAGCATACTTTAAACTCTTTAACAAGCATTTCTTGTTTCATGAAACTTCAGAGCGAAGACAAGAGGGAAAAAAACTATTCATTAATTTTTTTGAGACAGGGTCTTGCTATTTAGTTTAGGCTGCCTTGAACTCACTATGTAGCCTATGCAGACCTCAAATTTATAGCAATCCTCCTGCCTCAGCCTCCTGAGTGCTGGAATTACAGTTGTGTGCCACCATCCCCAGCCTCATTAGTTGTTTTTAATTTTAAAAATTTAGCCAGATGTGGTAGCACAGGCCTGCATTTGGGAGCCTGAGGCAAAAGGAACACTATCAATTCAAGGACAGCCTGAACTACACAGCAAAACCTTGTCTCAAAAAAAAAAAAAAAGTGACAATATCATATGTTGTATTTTTAGAACCCATTTTTAAAGAATTCTATTGTACATGGTGACTCTGAATTGACAGATGAGATTACTGGTCTTCTCAGTAAGTAACAATAATAATGTAACAATTTAAACTTGGCAGATGGGGATGTAGCTCAATGGTCACAGTGCCTCCCTGGCAAGCCTAAGGTCTTAAATTCAATTCCCAGGACCACCACCACCACCAACAACAAAAAACAGTTCAGTTGTGAAACACCCAGAAGGCTCAGCAGAAGTTCCCTGTTTTGGTTTGGTTTTTCATTTGTTTTAGTTTTGGGGACCAGGTCTCACTATGTGGGCCAGCCTGCTCTCCAACTCCTTCCTCCTACTCAGTCTCCAGAGTGCTGAGACTCCAGGCACATGCCACCATACCCAGCTCAAGGAAGTTCTGATGAGGCCACAAGGTCCAGAAAGGGGCCTGTAAATGCCTAACGGTGCTGGAGTGAATTATTTTCTCGTCCCAAAATTCAACAGATGGGATTGCAGAAAGTTCCCCCAAAGTGGTGCTGGGACCTCGACTTACTCTAGAGGAAGTTCTTGATTAATCATGGTGAGAGGCACAGGCAAAGTAAAAGTGTGGCACTCAGGGCTCGGACATACCACACCCAGGAGGGAGCATTCATGAGGTCTTGGGGTATCCTCCAGATAGATGATCTGCAGTGCTTTATCTCTGAGAGACTTATTTACCATGCTTGTTTCCTTAAACTTGGATTGTTCATTAGTAGCCTAAGGCAAAAACCGGCTTTATTGTCCAAAATCTAAACCCTGTGTGAAGTTTGGAAATGCTTTGCTCAGTGGCAGTTATCTTAGCTAATGAGGTTTACCTGAGGCGTGATTATTGCTAATTGGAAATGCTGTACCCAATTAATAGTACTGTTTCTTAGAAAATGGAGTCATTGGAACTTACAGATGTATAATATTGGGCTAGGGATATAGCTCAGCGGCATAACCGCCTGCCTGGCAAGTGCAAGGGCAGGAGTTCGATTCCTGGTACCACCCCCACCCCAAAACACCTTGATTTATAGTATTGGAAGGAAAACACAGGCCAAATTTATGGATTTTTGGGGCAGGGTCTCACTATGTAGACTTGGGTAACTTTTTTCTTGTTACTGGGGATCAAACTTATGACCTGGTGCTTGCCAGGGCAGGTGCTTATGCTGCTAAGCTAACTTCCCAGCCCTATCTTAGGTAACTTTGAGTCTTTTTTTTTGTACCAGGGATCAAACTCATGACCTTGTGCTTGCCAGGCAGGCACTTTATACCACTGAACTAAATCCCCGGCCTCCTAACTTTGAGTCTTGAAGCTGCAGTTTTCTTAAGGTACAATTTTAGCTTGGCACAATGATGCCTAGAATCCCAGCAGACTCGCAGGCTGAGGCTGGAGGATCACAAGTTTGAGCCTAGCCTGGGGGCAATTTAGTGAGCACCTGTCTCAAAATAAGAAACAGAGGATTGGGGGTGTAACATAGTGAGAAGGCCCTCGGTTCAACCTCAGTATCACAAAAAAGTACAATTTTTAAAATTGTAATTTCCTCATGTCCTTTCTACATATCTTTATTCCTTCTACTTCCTTTATTCCTTCTACTCTCTACCTCAAAAGTACCAGCCTAGGCCACGACCATTTCAGGGTCGATGGGGGCAGGGCTTTCTGCTGAGCTCATGTTTGAGGTGGCAGAAGTGCTTTCTTGAGTCCTACTGGACTTGAAGATTCAGATCCTTGCTGATTGTTGTTCAGAGGCTGCCCTTGTTTCCCTCCCATAGCCTCACCACTATCCTGTTTTTTGCGCCAGACCAGACTCAGGGAGACTCCCCTAAGTTTGCACAGTAGCCTTTCCACTGCAGGGGCTGAGAACTCCTGCCAGTGGACAGCAGCTGGAGGGAGAGGCTGAGCCACTGGGAAAACACAGTGGCACCAGAGAATAAAGACAGCTTTAGACATTTCTCTGGTTCAGTGTCTTCCCTGGCTGCATGACTCACAAGAGAACCTCCTAACTCTAAACTGACACCTCCCCCACTTGTTAAAGAAACTATGTCACTTACCTACAGAATTTCTCACAGTAGATGTGGCTGAGCATATCTTTATATCTTCATTTAATTTGTTCCTTTATTTCTTCCATCTCTTGTGAATCAGTTTGTTAAATCTAGATTCTTGATTAGATTCATGTGCAAACTTCTGACAAGAATATTCATAGATGGGGCTTTGTACTTCGCATTGCGACACTCCAGTAAGTAGGTAAAGTCTGCATAGCCTGCTTCTAGTGAGACTCAGATAATTTATAAATTCATGTCTTTTTCAGCCTAATCATCCATCAAGTCCTCATCAACATTATACCCAATGGCTTTAGTAGCTACTGATGTTCGTTTTCCAAATCTATTATTTCATTAGAGATTGCAAAGTATTAACGTTCTACAGATTTTTGTATTCATTAGCTGGAACTGTTCTATAAAGAAATTTTCCTCTATCAAATTATTCTGAAATTCAATTAGTATAAGAATTACAGAATAGGTGGTGGTGGGGTCTAAAAAAAGAATTACAGAATAAACACAAATTTTGAGAGTAATGAACTGACCCTTAACCAAAATTGAACTATGTTCCTTTTTTTGGGGGGTGGGTTTGAGTGGATATATGTGATTATGAACTCAGATTTCTTTTTTTTTTTTTTACTTAATTCCCAAGTACCATTTTTCATTCTCCACGTAAGAATGTCCAGGTTTTTTCATTAAATACTATTATGGCCTATTGTCATTGTTATTTTTCCACTTTAATTCAAGTTTACGTTTTTGAGCCTTAATTGAATTTCACCCTGCAACCGAAGTATACCACTCAGTATTCTATACCAACCAATCTTGGTCTATCCTTAGGATGGTGAAATGCGAATGAGGAAGCAAGGGACAGTCACTATGTTTTCCATCTCTAGGCAGACAGGTGGATTAGTTCTTGCCTGAAACCAAGGTAGGTAGCTTGCTCTTTCCCTACCTTTGCTGCAATAGTGCTCAACTTGAAATGATCCTCATCTACCATAATCCCAAATATTGAGTACCTGCATCCAAGTATTATAATCCCTTTTCCAGTCTTCGTCACAATCCAAAAAGTTATATTTGTAATCCCATTAACACGTCATTGGAATCCCAGCAAGTTAATTCCAATCTACCACCTCCAACCATGCAACACACCGTGGAAGTAGACACCAAGACATATTCTAAGTTAAGGACAGCCAAGGGGTCCTAAGTCCAATCCCCATGAGGCTGTGTGGAAAAAGGCCCTGATCCTAGGCCTCTCCCAGAATTTATTATCTTGACAGTGAGGATGGTGAGCATTACGTGAGTACCATGAGCTGGCTAGTCAGATAGTGAGAAAAGCATCTCTGCAAACTGCAGAGATAAACATATGCAGAAGGAGCAACTTGCATAATTCAATTAAGGTGGAAACTGAATTGTATTTGGTTTTTGGTATGTAAACTTTTGTGCCCTGGAGTCATAGCCTCTTTACCTTGAGGCTCATACCCAGTTGACATTCCTGGACCTGACTGACTACCATCCCCCTGTGCTTATATATTTTAGAGAAAGGCATTATGGGAGGAAACAAGAGACTGTCTGATGGCTTTAGAGAGTACATATAAGTACCTCGGCTAGCCTTATCTGCAATGCTTAGAGCCAAATGAAGAGAGAAGGAAATACCATAGCCAGCTCTGTACATATCTGTATAAGGAAGTAAGTCTTGATATAAGCAAAGTTGCAGCAATTGTTCTGCATAGAAGGCAAGTCACTCAAATTGTTTCCCATACCCACCTGCTGAGGAACACAAGCAGGTATAGAAAACAAGGCTGTCTTCTAGTCTCATCTTCTTCTCCAAAACTAGTCCTAGGTCTACCTTCTAGGTTCACCAATCATTTGGTCCTTTCTTCCTCAGGTCAGTGGGAGACCTGTGATCCAAACTCTATTTCTCAACCACGCCCTGGAATTTCACACAAGTTACTCTGTTCCCTGGAATTACCAGAGGTTAGTCATCTCTTACAACAGAGCACAAAGCAAATGAAGTGTGGGCTTTGTACATCTCAATCTCTGGAACATAACTAGTCCACAAGCACACTCAAGGTCAGCTCTATTCCTGGGCCTGTTGATCATTGGTTCCAATTTCACTAAGTTAATTTCAGTTTTTTTCTTTCACTTAAAACAAAAACATCTTTGAGCCATGCATGGTGGTATATGTCTATAATCCTAGAACTCGGGGCTGGGGATTTAGTTCAGCAGCACAGCATCTGCCTGGTAAACATGAGGTCCTGAGTTTGATTCCCAGCACAAAAAAAAAAAAAAAAAAAAAAAAAATCCAGCACTCAAAAGGGCTCAGGCAGGATCACCACAAGTTGGAGGCCAGCCTGGGCTTTAAGGTGAGATCCTGAATCAAAAAAGAAAACAAAAAAATTAAAAATATCCTTAACCCAAAAGAGACAAAATCCTAAAGAAAATGTAATATATGGAAAAAAGAGAAACTTGGATGATTGATGCAGTGTCAATAATACATAGACAACAAAATATCATTTGGAGAATTTATTCCATTTTGTACTTTGAGTAATTACTTCAAAGATAAAAATATGTATTAACTATTGTTATTCCCCTATTGTTATGAAATTTTTCCATAAAAATCTGCAAAATATATAAATATATACATAAATAACTGCATTTGTACTGACGATATACAGACTTCTGTCCTTGTCATTATTCCCTAAGTAGTACAGTATAGATGTAACAATTAATAGCATTTGTACTGCTAAGGTACAAGTAATCCAGAGCTAATTTAAAGTATACTAGGGGGCTGGGGATTTAGCTCATGGGCATAAGGCCTGCCTTGTAAGCACCTGCCTTGCAAGCGCCTGGTCATGAGTTCGACCCTCAGTACCGATTTAAAAAAAAAAAATTAAAGTATATCAGAAGATGCTGGTAGACTATACGCAAATGCGGTGCCATTCTATATAAGCATCTGGACTGAGAATGTACAGGGTGGGGTGGGATTGGCAGCAGAGCAGGCCAGAGGGAGAGAACTTGGCAGGTACTTGAAGCAACTGCTTCTTTCTTTACTCCTAACACCTTCTACATGCAGGATGGGGCCACTCACATAACACTCAAGATTGAATATCATCAGAGAAACAGAATCCCTCTCCAGAATCCTCCCAGTGGGCTTCTCTCCCATCTCAAGAGCAGGGAGTAGACTACTTAGCCATTACCAAAGCCATCATGGGAAGGATGGAGACAGGATTATCAGAGTGTGTCACCCATACCTCGAACCTCAGAACTGAGCAGGGACCATGCTCCCTTAAGTCGCATCTGAGATAGACAAGGTGACTGTAAAAGGGCCAGGAGGCCCCTTTCACAAAACTGTGCTCAGCTGTGAGGACAGTGTGACAAATCTCCAGCAGATGGCAACAAAGTGCTTGGAGAATGGCGCCTTTCAGACACAGATAGTCAAGGATGCCTTATCTTTGGGCTCTACAGCCATAGATTCAGCCATCCACAGATCAAAAATATCCTGATCCAAACCTTTTGAACACCATCATTCCCTCAATAATGGAATATTACAACTATTTACACAGATTGCACTATATTAGGTATAAGCCGTCTAGAAACAATGTAAAGTGTATAGGAAGGTGATGGCACAGGCCTATAATCTGAGCACTCAGGAGGCCAAGGCAGGAAAATCTCAGTGAGTGTGAGACCAATCTCTCAGCTTAAGAAAAAATTTGAAGATCTTTATTCACTTTCAATGTAAACACTAGGTGGATTATCTTTAACTGAAAATCATTATGTACAAAATCTACTATCATTATCTATAAGTAGTTTTTAAAAAAGTGTCAAGATTTATTTTTACAGGCAGGTATGATGGTGCGCACCTGTAATCCTAACACTCAGAAGGCTGAGACAGGAGGATCACCTCAAGTTCAAGGTCAGCCTGGGCTACATAGTGAATTCAAGACTAGCCTGAATTGCATAGTGAGACTGTCTTTTAAAAAAAGTTTTTACAAAAGCAATAGTTTATACATTGATTTTAGTTCCTCTCCAGCCCCTATATATTAAATGATTAGGGTTTATAGAAAATTACTGTGCTACAAGTGCCTGCCTGGCAGGCTCAAGGTTGTGAGTTCGATCCCTGGTACTCCAAAAAAGAAAATTACTGTGCTAACCAGGCACATTCCTATAATCCCAGCACTTAGGAGTTTGAGGCAGGAGGATTATTACAAATTCAAGACCAACATGGGCTACAAGATGAGCTCAAGGCCAGCCTGAACTGCATAGCACACTGTCTCAAAAAGACAAAACAAAAACAAAATCAGACCTCCCAAATTTAAATACCCAATCCAAAAATGGACATGAGATGAATACATATTTCTCAGATTAAGAAATACAAACAGCAAATAAATACATGAAAAAGTGTTCAATATTTATGGCCCTTTGAGAGATGCAAACTTTAAAAATATTGAAATTTCATCTCACTCAAGAGTGAGATCAAAAAATCAACCAATAACATGCTGGTGGGGCTATAGGGAAAAAGGAACCCTTCTCCACTGTTGTAGACTGAAGCAACCACTGTGAAAATCAGCATGGAGATTTCTCAAAAAATGAGGGTTAGAGGTCCCATTTGACCAAGCTATTCCCCTTCTGGGTTTCTTCTCAAAAGAATTAAAAGTATCACATTACAGCAATAATAACCTCACCCATGCTTATAGCACCATAGTTTGTAATAGCTGAATCTTGGAAATAACCCAAAAACCCATCAAGTAATAAATGGATAAAGAAGATATGAGTTTTTTTACACAGTGAAATACTACTCTGTTCGATCCCTGGTACCAATAAAAAGGAAAAAGACAAAAAAAAAAAAAAAAAAAAAAAAAAGAAAGAAAGAAATACTACTCTGCCATAAAGAAGGACACGCCTGAGACATTTCTGGGTAAATGAATGCCTCTTGAGACTACACTTACATGAAATAAATTAGACACACATGTGTAAATAACACATTGTCTTTCTGGTGTGAGAAACCGAAAGTGTAAATAAGGGGCAAAGTGTTTAACAGATATTGTGAAATAGGAGGAAAATGGGAAGGGGAACAGGGAGGGAGTGAGGGGGAAAGGAATAAAAAGTAAAAAATAAGGAAAGAGCCAGGTGTGGTGGTGCATTCCTGTAATTCCAGCATTTGAGAGTCTGAGGCAGCAGAATTGTTTGCAAGTTTAAGACTAGCCTGGGCTACAAAGTGAGCCCCAGGCCAACCTAAACTACATAGTGAGACCCTCCCTTAAAAAGGCCAAAAAGAAAAGGGCTCCAGATTTAGCTCAGTGGCCTAAGTGCAAGGTCTGTGAATTCGATCAATCCCTTGTACCAACCACGCTCATTAAAAAAGGAGAATATGGAAACAAAGCTTTTGTAAGTGGGAAGGGTTGAAGGGAGAAGGCAATGAGAAAAGTTGCATCATATACAGGTACAAATTCTCCACACTGAATGTAATCACTATGTACATTTGAAAAGTTCCAATAAGATCAGATTTAAAAAAAGAAGTTACTATGTCAAAAAATATTGTTTCAAGACCAGTCATCCTTCTGCCTCAATCTCTCAAGTAGCTGGGTACACCACTGCGCATGGCTCAGGAAAACAATTTTAAAGTGAACTGTGTAATCAATTTATAATTTCTACCCTCTTAACACCAAAGCCAAGTGGACACGTGGTTCTGTGATCTCATCAGTTTGCTCCCAAAGCAGCAGTCTGGGTTGCGTCATGGCTGGGTCAGTAGTATATGCAGCGTGTGCGATGAAACGGAATCCCTTTCATGTCTTCCCTGTGGTCCCTGGCATAGTCCCATAGGTAGTAATCCAGGAGGATGGAGTTGATCTCAGCAGTAGGCTTTTCACTCTTTTTTTCAATAAGCTCCAGAAGACAATCCCGGATCAGCTCGACACACCAAAGTGAGCACCCTCTGATTTCAACCTCTTGCTTATCCCCATACAAGAGCATTTCTCCTGCAAGGGTTAAAACAGAAAAGAATTCTGGGCTGAGGATTTACCTCAGTGGCATAAGCACCTGCCTGGCAAGCACAAGATCATGAATTTAATCCTCAGTACCAAAACAAAAAAAAAAAAAAAGAAAGAAAAAAAAATCATTCCTTGACTTAAGTGTGAATGTGAAGTTACCTATTACATTTCATGAGAATTGGGCCAATCGGTCTCAGTCTTCTCAGGACCTAGCCTAGCACCCTGCACAGACTAATTCCCCAAATAAGCACCTGGTAAACAGAGATGTGGCTTTTTCTAGGTGGTATGGCACTAAGGAGGCTGAGGCAGAAGGATCCTGAGTTTGGGACCACCCTACATTACCAGACAATGCCAGGTCAGCCTGAGCTACACTGCCAGGCCCTGTCTCAAAGAAACAAAATAAGAATAGCATGTTTCCATGTTTCTCTACTTTTATATGAGTAGCCAGTCTGATTTTTTATGTGAAATCTCCTAATTTTCAAGTATTAGGAACTAATCAAGATGGGTGTGGAGGCACACACAAATAATTTCAGCACTCAGGAGGCTGAGGCAGAAGGATTGCTGCAAATTCAAGATCAGTCTGGGCTACAAAGTGAGCCCGAGGCCAGCATAACAAGATGTGTCTTGAAAAGACATAAAAAAAAAAAGGGAAACTAATCAAGCATCAATTTAAACCAGGTGTGGTAGTACATGCCCATAATCTCTGCACTCAGGAGCCTGAGGCAGGAAGATCTCACATTGGAGGCCAGCCTGGGCTACTTAGTATATAGTGAAATCTACCTTAAAGCTATACCGTGAGACTAATGTTAAAAAAAAACAAAACAACAAGAAAAAAACAAGAATGCTTCAAGACAGGAATGAACGGCATCTGGGTACATGGAAAATCTTGTGACTGATAAATGTTGTACCTTTTAAAGGCATATAAGAATTAGTCATCTAACTCATGAGCATTATGACATAACACAGTGTATTATTTTTCAAACAAGGAAACAGGATATGATGGATTGTCTGAGGAAACTTAAAAGCTGGTAAAATCAACCATAGGAGTAATGATACCTTTATATTCTGTATTATTACTTGGGAAAATATAAATCCATTTCGCTAGCCAGGTATGGTGACACACACCTGTAATGTAAGCACTTGGGAGGCTGGGGCAGGAGGATCACTTTGAGTCCAAGGCCAGTGTGGGCTACATATTAAGTTCAAGGCCAGCCAACACTACAAGAAAAAAACCCATTTCACAAGAGAAAATTATTCAATAGCAAAACTACTTTCTCATAAAAATATATTATAAATGTCACATAAAATCCTAGGTATAAAAGAGAAATTAACATGAAAATAGTAGTATTTTTTTTCACACAAAGAAGTGACTGTGTTTTTTGGGGAGGGGAGAGGAGTACTAGGAATTGAACTCAGGACCTTGTGCTTGCCAGATAGGTGCTTGTGTCGCTGAGCTGTATCCCTGGCCCAGTTGTTCTTTTGTCCAGGCATGGTGGTGCATTCTTGAAATTCCAGCACTCAGGATGGAGGCTGAGCCAAGTGGATCTCCAAGAGTTTGAGGCTAGCCTGGACTACAAAGAAGTTCAAGGTCAGCCTGAACTCCACAGTGAGACCCTATCTTAAAAAAGAAGTTTTTAGTTTTTTTTTTAAAAAAGAGTAATTTTCACACAAACTTCTCAATCTAATTTTTCTAGTCTTACATAAAATGAGGCTCCCGGTTCTGAATCAATTATCACTTCTTCCATTACTGGTGACTAAACATGAGGAAGGGAATGACTTGTGGGAGACACCCAGTGGCCCCAGGAGCCTCTGATCACAATCCTGTCTATAATGCGCCATCTCTTAGCCCACGGCCCACCCTTTCCTCCACAATGCAGTGCTCTCTCTAGCTACGCGAACACCTGTTACATGTTACACCTGGGTCACAAACCTTCACACAGCAGGAGTTTAGGATTCATTGTATTAGGCTGAAACTATGATGTTCAATTAGCAATGTCCATATCCCACACCGCAGTAAGAAAAGTACACAGCCCACTGGGCACAGTGGTGCACACCTGTAACCCCAGCTCCTCTGGAGGCTGAGGCAGGCAGTTTAGAAGTCCAGGCCAGCCTTGAACATAGTAAGTTCAAGGATAGCTTGAGCTAGATAGCAAGATCCTGTCTTAAAATAAAAGATAAAAAAATAAAACAGGGTTGGGGTGTAGTGCAACGGTAGAGCTCTTGCCTAGTATGCATGCAGCCTTGGGTTCAATTCCCAGTACTAGAAAAAAAAAAAAATGAAAACGATCACTTGCTCCATATTTTACTTGCCTCTGCATGAGACAGGGACTGCTGGCCTCAAGCTGGAGACCTCCTGCCTCAGCATTCTGTGTGCTGGGAATGCCACCACGCTAGCTTGATTACTTTTATCAGTAAAAAGTGCCCCTTTTTTAGGCAAAGAGTTTTTGTGAAAGAAACTAAATGTGGAGTCACAATAATTCAGAATAACAGAGAACAGCCCTGTCAAGGCTGCAGACCTTTGTGAAGCTTCTCCAGCAGCTCCTCAGAGTACTTGAGGGCTCCGAGGTGGGCGAGGACCTGTGGCAGTCGATAGTCGGCGAACATCGTGATGCTGGCGATGTCTGGAAAGCAGCCGTCTCCTCTGCCCCCTAGCACACTCCAGGTATCTGCTACAAGGATCTGGGCTCGTTTGTAAAAAGCAACTCTTTTCCCCTGAGGAATGGAAAAAACATAAATGTTCCCTGCGTGTCTGAGAGTTGGCTATATTCCTCTCAAAAGCACAAACTGAAGACAGCTTTTCTAGAGCAGAATAATGTTGCTCTTTGGGAAGTGCAGACCTTTCACAGTGAACCAGAGGATCTAGTTAACATGCAGTCATCTCTACCATTCCCATTTTACTTCCTGTTTTCCTCAATCATGTAAAACATAAAACATAAGTTACATGACTCTGTTACCTTTTTTAATGGCGTTACTTCACATGAATTCAAGGCCAACCTGAGCCACTCAGTAAGACCCCCGTCTAAAATAAAAATTAAAAAGGCTGAGGATGCAGCTCAGCACCACAGCATTGCTAGGTGCAATCCCAGGACATAAAAAAAAAAGAAAAAAAAAAAAAAGTAGAGCCAGTGCAATTGATCCAAACCTATACTTACTAAATAATTTTTCCAAACCACCAAAATTCAGAATTTTAGTTGGTTGTGGTGCCACACACCTGTAATCCCAGCACTCAGGAAGCTGAGGCAGGAGCGTAGCAGTGAGTCTGAGGCCAGCTTGGGCTGCATAATAAGCTTGAGGCCAGTCTGAACTACACAGCAAGACCCTGTCTCAAAATAATAATAATAAAAATAATCCAGAATATTGCTTTTCAACGTAAACACATATGCTCAACTTTGTGACATACTGTAAAGTTTCTAAATTATATTGATGGGTTAGAGAGAAAATAAATCACCATTAAGAAACATTCCTACAAAGCTGGGCGTGGTAGCTCACATTTGTAATCCTAGCACTTAGGAGGCTGAAGCAGGAGGATTACTGCAAATTCAAAACCAGCCTGGGCTACAAAGTAAGTTCAAGGTCAGCCTGGACTGTGTAGTGACATCCTGTGTCAAGAAAAAAAAAAAAGACAGAAAGATTCCTACATTATGCTATGACACTAAATTCCTAAACCTACCCAGTAATTTATTCCTCTAGCACTAGATTTATACAGTATTTGTTAACTAGGTTTCTAGCAAGATACAAAACCGAATTTGCAAAATACAACTGTATGTTACAATTTTACCAGAAAGTTTACACTGGACATGTGATGCACCCTGTAATCCCAGCACTTTGGAGGAGAATCAACGTGAGTTTTGAGGCAAGCCTGAGCTACAAAGTGAGCTCAAGGCCAGCCTGAATTACAGAGCATGATCATGTCTCAAAATAAAAAAAGAAAAAGCAGCAAAGAAAAGGAAAGCTTACTATACTAGACAAAGGCTATGATCTATTTTTAACAAGATTCAAAACAAAATAGACTAGGAATCAAATTTATTAACAAAATGAATGCTAACACCTATAAAAACAAATTATTGTAGCACAATCATTGTTGCCATGGTAGCAGAAGAGACTATAATTCACTTAAAATAGAAAAAAGGATAAAAAGTTGAGATTCAAGGGACAAATTTAAAAACAATTCATAATTTTTTTTGCTAAGTTAACTGTGGTTCTGTAATCAAATTATTTGAGTTCATCAAATCCTGAGACTCAGGAGTACACCCTGGGTTCCATTCCCAGCACCTCAAACAACAAAAATAAATGAGAAAAAATTCTGGGTCCCTAAAATATTAACCAGTATCACTGAAAATACCGGTAAGTTCCCCAATAATTCCCTATATATTTGCTAATATTGCTTTGTGAAGAAAGTATTTTCAAAATAAATGTATTTATTTGTCCTTTTTTTTTGAGGCGGGTCTCTCTATGCAGTTTAGGCTGTCCTTGAGCTCACTTTGTAGCCCAGGCTGGTTTTGCACTTGACCCTCCTGCCTCATCCTTTCAAGTGCTGGGATTACAAGTGTGTGCCACCACACTCAGCTAATATTTTCAAAGTAATACTTTCATAAAGTAATTGTCACTGGAAAATTCTATGACTATGAATTAACTTACTTTCCCCCTGGTACTGGGGACTGAACCAGGGCATCACCATAAGCTACATGCCTAGACCTTTTTATTATTATTTTTTTATCGGTACTGGGGATCAAACTCATGACTGCCTGCTTGCAAGGCAGGCGCTTATGCTGCTGAGCTAAATCCCCAGCCCTTGACCTTTTTATTATTTCAAGACAAAGTTTCACTAAGTCTCTAAATTCTCCAAGCTAATCTTAAACTTGCAATCCTCCTGCCTCAGCCTCCCAGAGTAGTAGGATTTCAAGCATGCACTACCATGCCCAGCTAATTTGCTTTTTGTAAAAAATCTCTTTTATTCTTCTTTACTGGTTTTTTGAGACAGGATCTCAGTATGTAGTTCAGGCTGGCCTTAAGTTCATTGTGTGGCCCATGCTATACAATGGCCTTGAATTCATAATGATGCTCCTGCCTCAGACTCCTGGGCTACCACAGCCACCTCTATTCTTTAAAATAAGTAATACACCAAAAACATAAAAAATTGGACAAATTGATGGGCTGACACATGTACAGACTGCCTAATATCTAAAGTTTTACCTTCCCAAACATTTACTTTCTTGGCAATAAAAACTTCAAATGCAGGAAGCCAAACCATGCCTTCCCATGAGCTAGGGTCCACCATGGGGATCGAAGAACTATGCTTTCCCGTGAGCCAGCTGGTACGCGGGCTTGGAAACCAGAGCATATCCCTCTACCCCACAAGCAACTAGCTGACTGAGTGGAATTCATGGTGAGATGATAGCACCTGAGGTGAAAGGAGTAGCTTGAGGCTTGTATCATTGGATAGATTGTGTAGGCCTGAGGCTGGGGGTCTGGACATCTATTTGGAGGACAGCAGTGTGCACTGTGGCAACTGTGGGGGGACTTCTGTCTTGATTTTGAAATCTAATGTTTTATTCCATTTTACTGTTTTGTTTTATTCTTATATCTGGTTACCTGAGCAGGATTTTGAAGATAACAATATCCAGTATAACAACCATTGTTAAATTTCTATCATTGGGGCTGGGGATTTAGCTCAGCGGCCCTTGCCAGCAGGCAGTTGTGAGTTCAATCCCTGGTACCGATAAGAAGGAAAAAGACAAAAAAAAGAAAAAAAATTCTATCATCTTGTTTTGAAAACCTATATAGCTACTGGTGTTTTCTTTTGTTGTGGTCATTTTGCTTTTGTTGTATTTTAGGTTTGTTCGCTTCCTGATTTTTTTTTTTTTTCCTTTTTCCTTTTCCTTTTTTACCGGTACCAGGGATCGAACTCACAACTGCCTGCTTGCAAGGCAGGCGCTTATGCCGCTGAGCTAAATCCCCAGCCCCATGCTTCCTGATTTTTTTCTGTTTCTCTTTCTTTGTGATACCAGGGATCAAACTCAGGACCTCACACTTGCCAGGCAGATGCTTATGCCTATGAGCTAAATCCCTAGCCTGATTCTCTTTAAAATACAAAAAAAAAAAAAAAAAAAAAAAAAAAAAAAAAAAGCTGGGCATGTTAGGGCAGGCAGATCACTGCAAATTTGAGACCAGGATGGGCTACAAAGCGAGCCCAAGGCCAGCCTGAACTGTATAGCGAGACTCTAAGAAATAAACAGGATACAAAAAAACAAACAAAACTTTCAAAACCTTTTCTTGTAGCTTCTTTCCCCATCTCTTTTCATGAACTAATTTGTTTGAAAAAAAGTCAATAAATTTAAGGTTAAAGATTACGAATGCTTTTCCCCATGAATCAGCACCATTTGCAGACTGCAGGGGAGAAGTCAACAAGAAGCAAGCCTTCTTTGCAAATCAGCAACAAGCATGGGCCACTGCCACCAAGGGGACAGCCAGACCCCAGCCTCTTCTAGCCCGTGGGCTGGGAAGCAAGAAGAGCCAACCCCCTCCCCACCTTGTAAGCAACCAGTGCATCCAGAGAAAACACAGGCTGCAGTGATAGCTACTGAGGTGAAATGCAATCTGATGCCTCTGGTGTTTGGTGTTATACTGACCTTGCAGGTCTAGGACCAGTGGTATGATCATCTATTCAGAGGATAGCAGTACGCAGTGTGACATTTAGGGGCGATGTCCTTCTGAGGGTGGTGGCCACTGTTAATTCCCTATTATCTTGTTTTGAAGTCCTGTACCATTTTCATTGTTTCGCTGGGTTGTGTTTTATTGTATTTTCTCTGATATTGTTGTATCTGATGCATGGGCAGCTATTTCAAAGACATCAAGATATATTACGGTAAACATTTTGGATTTACTATTCTCTTGTTTTGAAGTCCTTTATTGCTTTCATTATTTTGTTTTCCTTGTCTCTATTCTGTTCTGGTTTTTGATTTTTACAATGTTGGAAGGTATCTGCAGTTATTCTGAAGATAAGAAGCATTGTGGTTATTGATGATTTCCTTCTGTTTTGATGTCCTGTGTCACTTACACTAGTTTGTTTTGACTGGTTTTATGCTTTATTTTGCTTGGTTTTATCCTCTTTAAAATAAAAAATAAATAAATGAAAGGGGCTGGGAATACAGCTTGGTGGTAGAGAACATTTGCCTAGTATGTGTGAGGCCCTGGGTTCAATTCTTAGGACAGGGCAAAGAAAATAAGTAATCAATGTTACGAAGGGTTGAGCTTTTTGTCATCTTTCTGGAGAATAGTTAAGCTTTTTATGTGTTGGAAGCCTGAATACCTTGACCATGCTGTGACTCAGTAACTTAACCACAGGAATCCGTAATAACAGACATGTCTGAGGATTAAGATGTTGCACAATACTGTTTATAACCCAGTGAAACTGAAAACAGGAAGACGTAAAACTCAATTTACAAGGGCTGGGGATTTAGCTCAGTAGCTTAAGCACCTGCCTGGCAAGCGCAAGGTCATGAGTTCAATCCCTGGTACCAAAAAAAACCCACAAAACACTCAATTTACAAAATAAACTGTATAAACACAATTGGGAATCAGTCTTAAAAATTAATCTAAGTCCTGGTAAATTAAATAGAAACTCAAAAACTCACTCTTTATATGGATAAACACAAACTACAAAAAAAGCAAAAGAACTGCAGTACATGGTATTCTGAATTCATTCCACCCTGAGGCTACATTATTTACATTAAATTTTTTTATTTTTTTAAATTGAGTTGTTTATTTTAGGATTTATAAACTTGAAGCACAGAAAAAAATTGAGACAGATGTATTTACTAATTTATTGCTGTTCACTGATGCTCCTCCTCTTCCTCTCTTCTCCCTGTGCTCACCTCAGCATATTAACTGTAATCTCTGCCTTTCCTGTGCTACAATCACATACAAACTATCAAATACCAAAATGAAAGATCATGTATCCTGAACCATGTGACTGGTGGATTGCTTTATTTCATATACTATTTATTATAGTTAGATGGCCTTAATAAGAGACCACGGAATTTGATCCTGCATTTCCTGAAAAACAAGGCTGATATGATATACTTTATTTTTTTTCTTCAAGTTTTACTGGGTCTGAGATCTGCTCTTTTGTTCGGTTGCTTGCTGTTGTTCTTTATGTTTAGATACACTCTAATAGTTACAAGGATCAAGAAAGTAATTACAAAGCCATGAAGCAATAACTGAGTTAGGCAGTTTTAAAAGAACAAAGAATTATTTATTTATTTATTTTTTAAGATTTATTTTTTAAAACTATCTTAGTTTTTAATATATAGATATATACATATATATTGTTTCTTTCAGCTGCTCACGAGTGGGACAACGTTTACATGTCTTATTTATGAAATGATATACTTTAAACAAAAAGATAAATCTCAGAGTAACCTTTGCATTAGTTAATAGGGCAGAATAAAAATGAACAGTGAGCCCTGGAGACTTTTCTGGAAACTACATCTCAGCTCCTGCTGAGGCCACACCTACCTGCTATAACACATGTGGTTCAGGGCTGTGACTGGCACTGAGCCTGCCTCTCTCTTTCTCCAGTAGCTCAAGCAACAAGATGCAAAATTCACTATCAGTAACTTTTGATACTTCCTGGAGAAACTTCCAAAGTGAGGGAAAAACAGCTACAGGCGAGAATCTGAACTCGTCAGCTACAATCCCCTGTCCAGGCTGTCCCTGGTTCATCTAAAATTCCTTTTTATATTGGGCATAGTGGCACAAGCCTGTGATTCTAGCACTTGGGAGTTCTGAAGCAGGAGGATCATTGCAAGTTCAAGATCAGGTTACAAATGGAGCTCAAGGCCAGCCAGAACTGCATAGCAAGACCCTGTCTCAAAAATACCAAAATAAATAAACAAAAATAATAAAACTCCTTTTTGCCTCATTAAAAAGAAAGTTTTGTGCTATTAACTGTTTGTTCCTTCTTTGTAAAAGAGAATCTTTTCTTGTTTACATCTTGTACTTTGAGTGATACTTTGAAGGTAATAATACAGTGTTGTAACTATTGTTATTACTGTATTTTGTTGTGAAATTTTTTCATAAAATAAAAACGATACAACTTTTTGCTTCAGCTTTTTCTAGAAGTGTCTGTGTAGTTGCAATTTATAAAATAAAAAATCTTAGGAGGCCACAGTAGTGCACACTTGTACTCCCAGTCACTGGGGAAGCTAAGGCAGAAAGATCAAAAGTTTGAGGCTGCTCTGGGCAACTCAGGGAGACTATCTAAAAATTTTTAAAAAGGTATGTTTTTAAACATATGGGTATATTCCTCAGTGGCAGTATGTCTGCCTTGTATGTGAGTACAAATGTAGTGTACAAATATACACTAACACACATAATTAAGAATCTTTCATTTTATAGTAATCAAAGGCTAGCTATTTCCTAACTAAATAACATAAGACCGACCATTTAATGTTTCAAAATTAGTTCTAGTCTACAAACAAGGGACAGGGGCTGGGGATATAGCTCAGTACCACAGGGCCTTCCTGGCAAGCACAAGGTCCTGAGTTCAATTCCCAGTACAAAAAAACAAAAACAAAACAAAACAAAAAAACCCACAAACAAGGGATAATAATGCTTCCTAACATCTTTAGGTCCCTTAAGCTGATTTAAAAATCAAATGTGGATGGCATGGCTGGGGATATAGCTCAGCAGCACAAGTGCCTGCCTGGTAACGAAAGGTTCTGAGTTTGATTATCAGTCCAAAAAAAAATATGCATGAATACCATCAAATCACAAAGTGTAATTTAAACAATATGTTGGTAATTTTAGTTGCTGAATTGTGACTGCAAAAGAAACAGTTTTAAAACTTTAATTTGATGTAAGGCTTCACTAACTTATAAATTTATGTTATGATTTTCTGAAGTTGCTTATACTTCTGAATCACAGTCAAAGTAATCAGAATTCCAAAAGAATTTTACAAAAACAAAATCAAGATGCACACTGGGAGGGTACATCAGTTAATCATTTTAAATTTTTAATTTATTTCAATTAATTTAAACTTAATTATTTAAATTTTTGTACCATAAAACAAATAATACTGTGAAAGTATGCTGCTTGAAAAAAACAACATATATACACTGAACTTTGCCATGAACACCTTTTATTAGAGAATTTAGATACATTCTGATTTTCATCCAATATGCAAATTTTTAAGAACCTTATCCTCAAGGACAGCATTATATGGAAGGTTCAATGTTTTTCAGGTATGAAACATTTTAAAAGGACAAGAAGCCAGGTGTGGTGACCAACATGCCTGTTATGCCAGTACCCAAGAAGTTGAGGCTGCAGCACCACTGTAAATTCAAGGCCAGCCTAAACTACACAGTGGGACCTTGCCTTCAAAAAAAATAAAAAATAAAAATACAAAAGTAGCCTGACAACATGGTACACACCTATAATCTCAGCACTCTGGGAGGCTGAGGCAGAAGAATAACAAATTCATTCCTGGTGCGGGCAATTTACTGACCTAGTAAGTCACAGTCTCAAAAATAAAAAAAATAAAAATGGCTAGTGGGGAGGGGGGATGGCTAAAGGTGCTGTTCAGTGCTAAAGGCCCCGAGTTCAATCTCTAGCACCCTCCCCCAAAAAACAAAAAAGACAGAGCAAAAGAAATATACCGGGCTGGGGATTTAGCTCAGCGGCATAAGCACCTGCCTTGCAAGCAGGTGGTAGCGAGTTCGATCCCCGGTACCGATAAAAATGAAAAAGATACAAAAAAAAGAAAAAAAAAAAAAGAAATATACCGACTAGGAAATAATCATAAAAGAAGTTTTGAAATACTTCAATTTGGTTACTTTTTCTTGTCCATACTGAACACATTTCAAATATAAACTGTTATTTTTAAATGGAATTCAGGAAGTCTAATGGTATATATTCAAGGTGTTCATCGGGAGGCCACTGGATCTCAGGTGATTAGTCCACTGACAGGTTCAAGCTGGGAGGTAAAGGCTGGGGGGAGGAGATGGCTCTGGTAGGTGTGTGCTAGGAAAACAACTCTCCCGCTTGGCCTGCTCTGCACCGTTTTTTTCCTCTATATGCACTCTGCCCTACCTGCTGACTACGGACTTTAATCTCTACAAACTGTCAGCTGAAATAAATCTTTCCTCCTTTAATTTGTGAGTATCCCATATTTTGTCCCAGCAACGAGAATACAACTAAGATAGGAAGCAAGTAAGTTAATTCTGAAAGAATTAAGACCTCTAAAATCAGGGGCTGGGGATTTAGCTCAGTGGCATAAGCGCTTGCCTTGCAAGCAGGCAGTCGTGAGTTCGATCCCTGGTACCAATAAAAAGGAAAAAGACAAAAAATAAATAAATAAAAAATAAAAGACCTCTAAAATCTCCACCAGAAACCACTCACCTCAAACTGAGTCACATCTCTGTAAGAAGGAAAATTTTCAACAATCAGGTGCAGTAACTTTTGCGCGCTTCTTTCACTTTTTCGGACGCAGGTAAGGAAAGAGCCTCCAAACTTCTCCAACAGAATTCTTCCCGCCTCATTGAGAACACGATGTCTATCTTCCATTAAAGGCATGGGGACATCAGTGTCAGAACGAAATATATGACGAACCTGGTCCAGGGTCACGGTAGCATAATAGGAGGCACTGGTTATCGGTATCCCTTGGAAAGAAAAAGGAAATTCGGGAAACAATGTTATACTTTTATATTTCATTAGACCCCTAGATCTATCATGTGCAATTCCTATGAAACCAAATGAAAGTTGCAGAAATGCACCCAGGTGGATGAACAAGCAAGGTGTTTTTTCCTACTCGCTCGCCTGGCCGGGCTCCTTTCTAACTCCTACCATGCCCGTCCGTCCCTCTGCTGCTCCATAAAGGTGCCTCCTTCAGATCCTGACCGCGACTGCTGCGGCTGTCCAGCCCTGCTAGCCCGCCCGAGGGGTTTTGGCTGGCACCTACCTTCGTCCAGGGCGCGGTTCACCGCGGCGCATAGGGACCAGTACCCGCTGTAGGCTTTGCCCTTGTAGGTCACCAGGCACTTGCGCTCCTCCTGCTCAGCCCAGAAGGAGAAGTTGAGTGTGTCCACCACGAACACCCAGCCGAGCGCCGCCTCGTCGGCCGCGCGGGGGTTCAGCTCGTGCAGCGCTCGCCAGCCGTCCACGCGCAAAGCCGGCCCCGTGGACGCCGCCAGCAGCAGCTCTGCCACCCTGCGCACGCCCTCGCCGTCCACGGCCACGTCTCGGCTGCGCTCGGCCACGAACCTGGCAGACTCCCGGGGCGGAAGGGGACTGTCCATGCCGCCTGCCTCTGATGCAAAGAACGGGGCCTCGACTTGTCTTCTAACGGGTCGAAGTCCAGTGCCGGGCCACCCCGCGATATCACTAAGCTCCGCGAGCCGCTAAGCCCGGCCGCGCGCCAGGCAGAGACGTGAGGGTTTCCATCACGGTGGCCCCGCCCCCTAGCGCACAAGGCCCCGCTTCCGGTTCCACTTCCGGAAGTGGCGCGGCTGAGCGCTCTGCTGTTCGCCATCTTGTGCCGCTTCCTGGTCGTGCGGGAGGGCGCGCGAGGCGTGCGCCTTGGGTGCCGCGTGGCCTCCGGCTCCCGCCCCGCCTGTTCTATGCCCTGGCGGATTCGGAGAGACGCTTCCGGGACGCCTGCGCCCTCAAGGTTGGGGTCCACACCCCGCCCCTAAACCAGGGCTGGCTTCAGTTTACCCTGCCAAATTCCCGGCCTGTTTGGAGGCCGAGTGGCGTTAAGGATATGTTGGGAAGTGTGGGGACAAGGGGAGAGAATATCGGTAACAGTTTGTGCTTAATTACTGAATCTCATCTAGTCTGCGTCGTGACGGAAGTGGCTTTAGTAATTCCTGGTTTGCAAACGAAGCAGAGTGGTTCAGTGACCAGCCCCTTCCCGCAGTGTTTGGGCTGGGATCCACACCCGTTCTGATCCGGTCTCCCCAGCGCAGTGCAGCTGAGCCAACGTCCAGCGCCCGCGCCGCTGTCCTGGTCAAGTAGTGACCGTTTCCAGGGCCCAGCTGAGGAGACAAATAAAACAAAGGTACTGAAATAAAACAGTGATGGTCCACATTTGCTTAGTGATGCAGCATTATGCTCCAGAGGCCTAAAATCTCCATAGACGACCTGAAATATTACATGTTTAGAAATTATGTATACCTGTTATCACTTGGGAGGCAGAGGCCGGAGAATCGCTATGAGTTCATGGTCAGCCTGGTCTACACGTTCAAGGCTAGGCTGTAATATATAGCAAAATCGTCTCAAAAAAAGAAAAAAAAATCATGTATTGAAAAACAGGTTGAGGGCCGGGGATATAGCCCAGTAGCTCAGCGCCTGCTTGGCAAGCACAAGATGCCAGGTACCAAAAATAAACAAGGTTGAGGTAACCAAGACTACATTACAGTAGCAAGTTCAAGGCCAGTCCTAGTGAGACCTTATTTCAAAAAATAAAAAATCCTCCAAGGCTGGGGCTGTAGGTAGAGTCCTTGCCTAGCATGCAGGAATCCTTGGGTTTTCCAGGATCACGAGGAAAAAAAAATCAGTAGCAAGCGTTAGATACTCACCATAAAATCTTGGAGTTTTTGTTTCAGATTTTTTGGTACTCAGGACCTTGTACTTGCCAGGCAGGTGCTTGTGCCATTGCACTGTATCCCTGCCTTTCTTGGAATTTTGGGGGAGATTTGGAGTTTTAATAACTGTGACCCTAGAGAAGCAGAATAGCTAACCCCCCAGTTTCTTCAGTTTTATTAGGAAAAGGAAAGTCAGTACTACATTAACACCACTGTTGAGTAAATGTATCCCTGATGGCTTGAAGATTTTTTTTCTGTGCTTTGTTTTTGGCAGCAGTGCTTGGGAATCAAATCCAGGGTCTTTCATACATGCTAGATGTGCTTGATAAACACCTTGAGATTCTACTCCAGCAGCTACATCTTTTTATTATTTAATTATTGGTACATTTTAGGTATACATAACAATCACATTCATCATAGGGAATCTGTACCTATACATAATATATTTTCTCTTGCAATCCCTCATCCTCTCATTTGCATAAGCTGTTTCCATTTTTTCCTTGTTGCTTTTTTTCTTTCTTCTTTTCCTCCTCCACCCTCGTTACCCTTTTGAACATTTGAACACTTTCTTCCTATTACTTATACTTCATATCACTTACAGGTCTTGGTTCATACACTTTTAGTCTCTTGCACCAGAGCAGCAATACAATATTTACAGATGGGTGTTTGTTTCACTTATAAATACCCATCTGTATATTGTATTAAGACTATACTCCTAAATATACTTCAGAGTATAGTCTTAAGTGGCATCCATTCACCTAGAAATGTCAAGTTTATCCTTTATGGATGAGCAGTAATCCATTGTGTGTATGTGTGTGAGTGTGTGTATATATATTTGTCCATTCATCTTTATATCCATAAAGATATATACACATCTTTATCCATTCAGAAGTTTATTAGAGTCAGCCAAGTTAGGTAGAAACATAGTAGGCAGTCAAGCAGTTCTGGGCCTTCCAGTGAGTCAGTGCAGAAGATGAGAATCCATGGGGACTGTGGTGGGAAGGGCGTCTGAAGATTAAAGTCACCTAAAGGGTTGGTTTTACTACTTCTCTAAGGGATGAGGGGAGGTTTGGGATTATTGGTATCATCCTTTTTTTTTTTTTTTTTTTTGTCTTTTTCCTTTTTATGGTTCTAGGGATTGAACTCACGATTGCCTGCTTGCAAGGCAGGTACTTTATGCCGCTGAGCTAAATCCCCAGCCCCGGTATCATCCTTTTGAGCTTTCCCATGTCTCATTCATGGCGGGACATCCTCTCTCATCTACTATGACTAAGACTAAAACTAAGAGTAAGACTAAGACTGCTAAAACTAAAGACAAGGCCAAGACTATGGATTATCAACCAAGGTTAATGATGTCACCCATGTACCCTTGCTACCATTAGATCAATAATACTTAAGCAACTATACTTACAATCTTATTCTTTGAACACAATTTTGACCCACGTTGTACCTGCCTCATGATTTTGCTCTACAAAACTTCTTTTGACAGGTGGTCTCATTGGCAACCCATTCAAGACGCCGCCTGTCTCTCAAGAGCTATTTCTATTCCTCATTCCCCATTCCTTTTATCCAGTAAGTTTTTCTATTCTTAACCTTCATGTTTTCTTAGAATTCATCCTTTGACTTCAGGGAATGTGAACTCAGTGTATTTGACACCTAGCATTTGCCCTGTATCAACTTGGGCATTTGGGCAGTTTCTAAGATTTGGCTATTACAAACTGTGCCGCTGTAAAAACATAGGTTGTGGATATATCACTGTTGCATAGTGCTTTTGATTCTTTTCAGAAAGAGAATAGGTGGGTCGAATGGAACCTCTTGTTTTAGTTTTTTGAGGAATATGCACAGTAGCTGTACCAGTCTACCTTCCTATCAACAGGGTTCCCTTTTCCCCCACAACCCTTCCAGCATTTGTTACTGGTTGATTTCTTTTTTTTTTTTTTTTTTTTTTTTTTTTTTGTCTTTTTCCTTTTTATCGGTACCGGGGATCGAACTCACGACTGCCTGCTTGCAAGGCAGGCGCTTATGCCGCTGAGCTAAATCCCCAGGCCCCTGGTTGATTTCTTGATGGTAGCCATTTGTTCTGGAGTGAAAACCTCAGTATTGTTTTAATTGCATCTCAAATAACCATGGATGTTGGCCACTCTTTCATATATTTATTTCTTGTTTCTACTTGTACAACTGAGAAGTGTGTATTCAACCCAGATGCCCATTTTTGAATTGGGTCTTTACATTTGGGAATCTGATTTTTTTTGTTGTTTTTTGTTTTTTTATATATTCTAGATAGTAGGACTTTGTCTAAGGAACAACTAGCAAAGATTTTTCCTCACATTGTAGGCTTTTTCTTCACTCTATTGGTGATTTCCTTTTGCTATGTAAAAACTCTTTAAGGAGATGAGATTCCAGTTACTGCTTTTTTTGTTATAGTTCCTATACAATCAGAGTTTTGTTCATAAAGTCTTTGCCTATACAAAAGTCTTCAAGATTTCTACTTATTCTACCTTCCAGCAGATTTAGTGTTTCTCTTTTAATATTTAGATCTTTGATGCATTTTGATTTTGTTTTAGTGCATGGTGAAAAATACGGTCTTAGTTTTAATGTGGAATGTGCCATGTGGAAAGCCAGTTTTCCCAGCATCATTTATTAAAGAGGCTATCTTTCTTCCAGTGGCTCCTTTATCTTTTTTTTTTTTTTTTTTTTTTGTCTTTTCCTTTTTATCGGTACTGGAGATCGAACTCAGGACTGCCTGCCTGCAAGGCAGGAGCTTATGCCACTGAGCTAAATCCCCAGCCCCCATAGTGGCTCCTTTATCAAAGGTAAGATGGCTGACTATGTTAAGAATTGTTTCTGCATCCTGTAATCTGTTCATTGATCCTCAGGTCTATTCTTTTGTCAGTATCATGCTATTTTTTTATTTTACTATGCTGTAGCTTTGTAGTACAGTTTCAGGCCAGCAATTATGATGCCCCCTGCCTTACCTAGGTTGCCCAGGATTGCTTTTGCTATTCTAGGTCTCTTCTGGTTCCAAGTGAATTTTAGAATTGTTTTCTCTAAGTTTGTGAGATATGCTATTGGAATTTTGATCAGGATTGCATTGAATCTATATGACAGTTTTTGAAGTATGGCCATTTTCACTATATTGGTTCTTCTACCCAAGAACAAGGGATGTTTTTTCATTTTGTGATATTCTCTTCAACCTCCTTTTTCAGAGTACTGTAGTTTTCAATGTAGAGGTTTTTTTACTTCTTTGATTAGTTTGATTCCTAGGTATTTCATTTTTGGGGATGCTATTGTGAAAGATGTTATTTCTCTAATTTCTCAGTAAACTTGTTACTTATGTACAGGAAAACTATTGATTTTTTTTTTTTTTTTTTTTTTTTTTTTTGTCTTTTTCAGACTGGGTCTTGCTATGCAGTTCAGGCTATTTTTGAGCTCACTTTGTAATCCTGGCTGGTCTTGAACTTCCAACAATCCTCCTATCTCAACCTCCAAAGTGCAAACTGTTTATTTTTGAGTTTTGACTTTATCCAGTTATGCTACTGAATTTGGTTATTAAATGTTGAAGTCTCAGAGGCTGGGGATTTAGCTTAGTGGCATAAGTGCCTGCCTCGTGAAGTCATGAGTTCACTCCCCAGTACCAAAAAAACCCCCAAAAGTCAAAGTTTCTTGGTAGAGTTTTTGGAGTCTGCTATGTAGAATATCATCCACAAATAATTTAACTTCTTCCTTTTCTAGCCTTATTCCTTTTATTTCTTTCTGTTGTCTAACTGCTCCAGCTAATGTTTCCAAAACCATATTAAGCAGGAGTCATATAGTGGGTATCCTTGTCTTCTTCCTGATTTTAGAGTTAGAAAACTTTCAGTTTTGACCATTTAGTATGGTGTTGGCTGTTGGTTTGTCATAGATGGCTTTTATTGAATTGAGATATAGACCATCTCTTCCAGTTTTCTGTAGTTCTTAATCGTGAATGGGTGCTGGACTTTTTCAAATGCTTTTTCTGCATCTGTTTAGCTGATCAGATGGTTTTGTCCTTGGTTGTGATAATATAGTGTATTCTGTTTATTGATTTGTGTATTGTGAACCATCTCTGCATCCCTAGGATGAATCCTACTCAGTCATAGTGTATAATTTTCTGATGATTTGCTGCATTCTGCTTGCCAGCATCTTACAGAGGATTTTTACATCTACATTAATTAAGAAGATTGGTCTGTAGTTTTTCTTTTTTGGTTGGGTTCTTCTCTGGTTTTGGTATCAGAGTAATGAATCAATGCTTGCTTCCAGGAATTACTTTGGAGTATTGCTTCCCTTTCAATTTCATTAAGGAGTTTTAGAAGTAGTGTTATTAGGTCTTCTATAATTTTCTTTTCCTTTTTTCTTTTTTTTTTTTTTTTTTTGTCTTTTTGCTTTTTATCGGTACCAGGGATCGAACTTACGACTGCCTGCTTGCAAGGCAGGTGCTTATGCCACTGAGCTAAATCCCCAGCCCCGCTCTTCTGTAATTTTCTTATAGAATTCAGCATTGAGTCCATCAAGGCCTGGACTTTTCTTTCTTGATAGGTTTTAAATTAAATCTTCAATTTCATTTAACGGATTTTTTTGTTTGTTTGTTTGTTTGTTTTTGCTTTCATTGTGTTTCATAAGTTCTGGCATATTGTGGGTTTTTTTGTTGTTTTTTTTTTTAATACCAGGAATTGGACTCACAACCTCATGGTTGCCAGGTAAGCTCTTATGCTGCTGAGCTAAATCCCTGATCCCAGTTCTGGTACATTGTATTGACATTATCATTTCATTGTAGCAACTGTCTAATTTCTTCTTCAATTTCATCTGATGCATTGGCTGGTCAGGAGGGTATTATTTCATTTCTGTGTGTTTATGATGTTTTTGTTGGTTTCTTTCTGCAGCTAAGTATTGGGAGCTGGGCTGGGGATTTAGCTCAGTGGCATAAGCGCCTGCCTTGCAAGCAAGCAGTCATGAATTTGATCCTTGGTACTGATAAAAAAATGAAAAAGACATAAATAAATAAGTAAATAAATATTGGGAGCCAAAGAAATTAGGGAGAAATCTAACAATCTACAAAAGAATCTAGGAAGCTAAAGAACATGCCATTTTCTCTGGCTGAGGTTTGTTAACAGAAAAAAAAAAATCAACAACTCAGCTACATACTGAGTATTATAAGAATAAAACATGTTTTATTCTCTCAGTGTTGAGATACATCATAAACTTTAGGTTTCTGTTTTTTTAAAGTATGTCTAATGCTGAGACTAACAAAATGTGAGTTTTTAATTTAATTTTAAAGAGAACAAAGCCAAACAAAATAAAACAGAATAAATCCAATCAAAACAGTGAAAGTGATACAGGACTTCAAAATAGGATAATAGGAAATAAACATTGGTTGCCATATTGCCTCTTGTTCGTTTGTTTTGTTTTTTGGTATCGGTGATCGAATTTACAATCTCATGCTTGCCAGGCAGGCACTTACGCTGCTGAGCTAAATCCCCACCCCAGTAATACCTCTTGTTATCTTCAGAATTTCTGCTCATACCATCAGACATAATAAAATCAAAACAGAACAGAATAAAACCAGTCAGAACATTGAAGAAAACAAAACAATAAAACAGAACAGTATTGGATTTCAAAAACAAGATAGAAGAAAATCCCCCATAGTTCCTGTATTGCATATTGTTGGGGGGGTTTTTTTTGTTTGTTTTTTTGTCTTTTTTGAGACAGGGTCTCACTATGCAGTTCGGGCAGGCCTTGAGCTCACTCTGCAGCCCAGGCTGGTCTTGAGCTTGCAATGATCCTCCCACCTCAGCCTCCCCAGTGCTGGGATTACAGGTGTGAGCCACCACGCCCGGCAGTATTGCATATTGTTATCCTCTAAATAGATGTTCAGACTACTGGCTTTAGGCCTGCAAAGTCATTCAAACAATACACACATGAAGTTGTTTTGTACTTCAGTTGCTATCCTCCACTGGCTTGCTTACAGGAAGCAAGTAGGGGAAAACAAGGAGGGGGGCCCTGCTTGTCTCCCAGCCTTTGCACCAGTTGGCTCATGGGAAAGGCAAATTAGAATCTTGTTTTTCTCTTCCCAGGCCTGCATGATCACTGCTCAAAAAGTGAGGTTTTTTTAGTTGAATGTGGTGGCACATGCCTGAAGTCCCAGCACACAGGGACAAATTTAAACCTAGATTAGGCAATTAGCAATGTAGCAAGACCCTGTCTCAAAAAATGAAAAAACTTGGGGGTATAGCTCAGTATGAAGGCTCTGTGTTCAATCCCTCGTACTACCAAAGACGTTTTCTTACTCGGCATTTTTTCCTTTCTTTTTCTTCCCAGCAGATGTTGTTCAAGAAACCCTTATTCCTAGAGGCTTCTTTTTTAACTGTAGCCCATATAGTTCAGCATCCTCAGGCCATCTAGGGACTGGTAATACTTCTGTGGTCGGAAACTGGATTAGAATTGTGCATATTTCCCATTTTACCTCAATAAATTGCAAGGCTAAAAGCTTTTCTTTGTCTTCCAATGAGACTTCCTAGAAGTGAGTCATACTTTAGATATGGTTGAGCTTCCATGTGCAGTACTGGAATTATCCAGTCCTTTGAATGGTACCTGGATATGAAGGCATCTCGTGCAGGGGTGCCCAGCTAAAAGAGCAGCAGAGAAATGGAGCTGGAGTAATGGGATAACATCAGTTCTTCAGGTTGCTGTTTTTTCTTTTTTTTTGGTACCAGTAATGAAGCTCATGACCTTGCGCTTGACAGGCAGGCACTGTGCCCCTGAGCTACATCCCTGTCAGTTTGCTCTACCTTTGGATTTTCAGTTACCTGTTAATAACTTCTTGGAGCTCCTGATGCTGCCTGCCTAACATACAAATCCTGCTAAAGGGCCAGGGATTTAGCTCAGCAGCATAAGTGCCTGCCTTGCTAAGTGCACGGCCATGAGTTCGATCCCCCGTACCAAAAAACAAAACAACAACAACAAAAAGAACCCTGCTAAAACACAAACACAAAAACAAGACCATCAACAACTTCTGTGTCATTTAAAGCCATTTTCACTTTGTCTTGTGGTGCCAGGGATTGAATGCAGGGCCTTGTTCACCCTAGGCAAATGCCCTATCTCTAAGCCACGTTCCCAGCCCTGAAATGTTTTGCACTGAGTTTCCTATTTCAGTGAAAACTTAAGATTTTACACAGGAAGTAAAGGCAGAGGTGGCTCTGACACTTTATGATCACATGAGAAGAGCGATACCAAGGTAGGATTATACTTTAAGCAGTAGAGAACACTTAAGTGGCTTTTGTCGTTAGAATTGTAAATGACTCTATCCTCAGAGGATTGTGCCCATAGAAGGAAAAAAGGAAAAAGACTGAAGTGCCAATTGAGGATTTATTTTTTGCTGTGCTGGGTGGGGATTGAACCCAGAGCCCTTGTACCATATTATGTTCCCAGCATTCTAAACCCTGACCCCCTTTTATTTTTATTTTGAGCAAGGTCTCACTAAGTTGCCTAGCTGCCCTTGAATATATGATCCTCCTGCATCAGCCTCTCAGAATGCTGGTATTACAGACATGTATCACCATTCCTAGGTAGTGTTTCTTTTGAAAATCTTTAGTAGGCATGTTGGCACATGCCCTCAGTCCCAGTGCTTGGGAGACTGTGGCAGGAGAAATACTAAGAGTTCCAAGAAAGGCTGTGCTACATAGTGAGCTTGAGCATGGCCTGAACTACAAAGCAACGCTCTGTCTCAATCAATCAGTGAAAAGAAAATCTTTGCCAGGAGCTCTACCTTATACCTATGAATGTTTGAAGAATTATTTTTTGAAAAATGAAGTCTTGGGGCCTGGGGATTTAACTCAGCAGCATTAAGCGCCTGCCTTTTAGGCAGGCAGTCATGAGTTCGATCCCTGGTACTGATAAAAAGGAAAAAGACAAAAAAAAAAAAAAAGAGAGAAAGAAAAATAAAGTCTTGTTATATTGCTCAGACTGGTCTCAAACTCTGGGTCCTCCAGCCTGAGCTGCAAGCGGTGAAGAGTATAGGCTGGTGCCACTGCACCCACCTGAAAGACATCACAATGACCTCTGTTTGGGTGCGGGGAGGTAAAACAGGGTCTCATGGTGTAGTCCTGACCAGCCCTGAATAATCAGCTTCTGAGTGCTATGGTTTCCCTGATGCCTAGGCAATGATAACTTCCACAGAATCCCTATCTTTGCTTTTTTTTTTTCTCTCCTTTTTAAAACAGGGTATCGCTATGCAGTTCAGGCTGGCCTCAAACTCAGTTTGTAGCCTAAGTGGCTTCAAACTCTTGGTGATCTTCCTGCCTCAGCCTCCTGAGTGTTGGGATTGCAAGCATGGGCCACCACACCTGCCCTATCCTTGCATTTAAAGGGGGACAAGTAAAAGAGGTGTGATCAATAGTGTTGTGTTTCTGCATCTCCTTCTCTAGAAGAGTACTCAGATCATTCCATTCATTGAGAGACAGACTTGGGGCTGGGGATTTAGCTCAGCGGCATAAGCACCTGCCTTGCAAGCAGGCGGTCATGAGTTCGATCCCTGGTACTGATAAAAAACGAACAAAGAAAAAAAAAAGAGAGCCTTATGAACAGCTAAATTAAATGTTAAGCGCCTGGCAATAATTACTGACATGTCTTCTATATTTTGTCACGATAGGCTGTGGCAGGTATTTAATCAGAGGTGTTATTGGGCTGGGTGTGGTAACATGCCTCTAATCGGCATCCTAGGGGGCTAAAACAGGAGGATCACAAGTTTAGGCTCAGCATGGGCCATTTAATGAGACCCTGTCTCAAAAATTTAAAAAAATGGAAATTGCAGATAAAACAGTATGAAGGCCCTATTTTCAAATCAATTCCTAATACTGTGCACACAAACCAGCCAAAAAAAAAGGTATCGTAGGATGGTTAGAACAATGTGTGCAGAGTCAACACTGCTAGCAAGGAGGCTGTGGTCTTCTCTCATGCAAGAGTTATACAAAGAAGTAAAATGAATTTTGTGAAGGTAAACACCTCCATTACTTTGCTTTTCTCAATATCCTTAAAGTGATTGATAGACTAGTACCCTTAGCAGAGAACAGACAAAAACAGAACTGAGCCACAGATTAAGGACCAAGTGAGTGTGTGTGAGTATGTGTGTGGTGCTGGGGATAAGACCAGGGATTTTGCTGCACCTATTAGCTGAGCACACACCTGAGCCTCCAGCCCTCTGTGAAGTGCACGCTGACATTATTAAGGTAGAGTGGACGCACAGCTGGTCCCTCAAGCACCTTGGCACAGTCAGTAGTAAAGCTTTTGAATAATTTATATAGAGAAACTTTTCTTTAGGGTAGTTTTGTAATGGAAGAAGAGAAAATTCCCTTTCCTGTTTCCTGCTGGTCAGATGTCTCATAGGGAGTTGATTCCTCCAAAACTAGATTGTGGCTGGGCGTGGTGGCACACACCTATAGTTCTAACACTCAGGAAACAGACAAGAGGACCGTTGTGAGTTTGAGGCTAGCCTGGACTACACAGCAAAGATTCCGTCTTATAATAAATAAAATGGTAGGTTGCATCATCATACCCCTTTGATAGTAGCTGAGGATATCACATCCATTACTTCTTAAGGCATGGCATTTTACTGAAGTGTGAAAGCACAAAGAGGAGCCACAAAACTCCAGTGTAGGGGCTGGGGATTTAGCTCAGCGGCATAAGTACCTGCCTTGCAAGCAGGCAGTCCTGAGTTCGATCCCTGGTACCGATAAAAACGAAAAAGACCAAAAAAAAAAAAAAAAAAAAACTCCAGTGTTGTGCATTGTCCCAGAGGTTTAGTAGCAGTCTTTGGGTAGCACCTGACAGTCCCTAGAAATGACCAATGAGGGCCTGGGATTTAGCTCAGTGGCCTAAGTACCTGCCTAGCAAGCGCGAGGTTGAGTTTAATCCCTGGTACCAAAAAAAAACCAAATGACCGATGAGCCCAGACCTGGCTGTCCAGTGAGAGTCGTGACACTGGCTGGCAGCAAGGACAGCTGAGCTGAGCAGTTGTCTGTGCTTTGCCGCTGCCTTCCCGGAATTAACAATGCTGCCAATACAAAATAAGCCTTTGTAATTGAAGGGCTATATGAAGTAGCAGCTGATTCTAGGTAATTTAAGCAAAATGGCATTGTGGAGTGGGGTTGGGACGGGGTTTCACTGTGGAGCCCAGGCCCCCTTCAAGCTTTCTACATAATCTTGGCTGGACTCAGATTCATACATAGTCTTCCTGCTTCAGGCTCTCGACTGCTGGGAAGGCATGCACTAGCACTACCATTCCTGCCTGTTTAAGCAAAATGATGTTTTGAAAGATTAGAAAAAGTCACAGGTTAGAAGGGAAGGCTGGGGAACCAGACTCATAATAAACAGATCAAGAAGCTTTAGAGTATTGAGAGCTGCATGCACTGCTATGGCTCTCTTCCAGTGTTGCTAAACAGGTAACAATGGTCATTACAGCTTGCTTGCATCATTCTACTCTTATTGAAAATCCTAGGAGAAAGACCTGACTAACCAAGCCTTAGTCAAATACTTCCCCCTTGGGTGGTGAAGACCTCCAAGGACCAGGACTTCTAGCTCATCAAGTCTATATACAATGGGGAGAGAAAAAAAATCCATAATGAAAACTGTGCTGTTAGAAATGAATGCTGTTAGCAAAACATTTGCTCTTTGTCCCTCTGGTGGTTTAGCATTTAAGTGATTTTCTTCCCATTCATCTACTTTCAAAAATAGTCCTGCTACCTGGCATGGTGGTACATACCAGTAAACCCAGTTACTTGGGAGGCTAAGACAAGAGGACAGCAGATTCAAGTTCACCCTAGGTAACTTAAGTGATATCTTTTTTTTTTTTTGTCGTCTTTTTCCTTTTTATCGGTACCGGGGATCGAACTCACAACCGCCTGCTTGCAAGGCAGGTGCTTATGCCACTGAGCTAAATCCCCAGCCCCTAACTTAGTGATATCTTGTTTCAAACATTTTTAAAAAGGCCGACAGCTGGGGCCTGCAGCTCAGGGATGGAATACTTACCTAGCATCTGTGATGCCTTAGGTTTCAACGAAACCCAGGAGTGCAAACCAAAACAAACAGTCCTAACAATGCAGTTAATTCTTCATAAAACAACTCTTCATTGCACAGATGCCAATCTGTGCAATGAGATATTGCAGATATCTCATTGGAGATAACGCCAATCTGCAGCATGATCTAAGTTCAGGGTCTTGGTGATGTACAGTTCTGTTCTTGCTTTAGCTGTTCTTAGGTCAGGGAAGTAGAAGCCAGTCCTGGGATTCTTGGCTGGGAGTAGGTCCTCAAATGAAGGGGATAGAGGGAAGCAGGACATGGCAGTGGAAATTAGCCACATGAGGTCTTAGGGGAAGACTGGTTTAGAAGGCCAATTTAGAAAGCCAAGACATCTGCAATACATACTATATCTTAACTAAACAACCAAAACCAACCCCCAGCCCCCAAACCCAAAATTTACAAGTAAAACAAAGGGCTGGTATATAACTCAGTGGTAAAAGGCTCACTTAGCATGTGGATGGCCCTGGTTTCAGTCACTAGTACTGGGGAAAAAAGGGCCATTTACTCCAATATTGCTGGTAATGAGATAATCTTTTTTTTTTTTTCTTTTTTTTGGTACTAGGGACCAAATTCATGACCTTGCACTTGACAGGCAGGCACTTAGGCCTCTGAGCTAAATCCTGGGTCCCTAAACTCTTAGTAACAGCCGTAGCATAAGGTTGATTTACGTTGAAGTACATCAGACTTTTCAAAAAAAAACTATTTTTCACAGCACTGAACGACGGATGTAACTTTTCACTGGTGTAATGGCATTCTAAGGGAAAAAATTAAAACACAAGTCTCTTTACCTAGCAACATTAAATGAATCATCATCTGCTTGTGGAACAATGTTGTACATTAGGCCAGGCAGGTATAATCCAGGATGGAGAAGCTGCGGCAGTATGCCCAACTCTGTGCATAAGTACTTTTGCCTCAGCTTCTCCATCTTGGATTACAAAGACCCTACCTCAAAACAAAACAATCCCCTCAAAACAAAACACCACAAAAAAAGACCAAAACACAAACAGTGCGTAAATGCTGGACACAATAGTGCATACCTGGAACATTGAAACGAGACAGCAATCTCGAGTCTACCTGGGCAACTTATCAAGGTTTTCTCCAACCAAAGTGTGGCATGAAAGCTGTTCAATCCCATGTACCATAAAAACAAAAAACTAGGGGCTGGGGATTTAGCTCAGTGGCGTAAGTGCCTGCCTTGTGTGTGTTCCATCCCTGGTACCAGTTTAAAAACAACTTGTGGGAGACCAACCCATTTTCAGCACTGGGACTGAAACTAGATCATGCGCTGAGCTTACATACACACTAATTTTTTTATTTTTTTGAGACAGGGTCTCACTAAGTCGCTAAATTGCCCAAGCAGGCCGCAAACTTACTACCTTCTGCTTTAGCTTCCTCCTATATGCGTGTTACACACATACCACCTTGCCTGGCTGAGTCACATGATACAAGTTTTTCAGTGGAAAAATTGCTGTTGCATTTTATTTTTTTGGCTATGTATTAAAGTTTTAGTGTTTTAGAGTATTAAAAAACTAGATTGAGTGGAAACATTAAAGTTATTAGGTTTTACTTTTGGGTTTTGCCCTCAAATTTATGGCCACCTTGCTGCCTCAACCTCATGCGCTATGGTTATAAGCATTAAAAGCCCTTCCTGGTCATTTTTATAGAACCCTGGTGCCATCTGGTTTTCAATGTACCTATCAGCATTTTGCTTTTTAAGACTCAAGACCTTTAAAAGTTAGTTTTAACACCCCTGGGACCCAAAAGTTGAGTGGTGGAGGGATTGAACAGTCATCCTCCCTTAAGGTTCGCTACATGCTTCTTGAAGATGGTCTCACTAATGTCACCAAGTTACTCAGGCAGAGCCATTTATCTCCTTGCTATAGCCTCTGACCTTGCTGGCATTGTATGGCATGTGCTACTGTGCCCATCTTAACGTCACTTTCAATATTGTAGTAGTCACTACTTACGTTGCTCGTGCCCTAATGGACTGTAAGGTTTTTGTTCATTTTTAACCCTTCTCATCTTCAACTGTTTATCACTTACCAATTAACAGTGGTAATGTAAACTTCTCTCAAAGCTGCAGCTTGATTACCAGGGCCAAATAGCCTTTAGTTTATCCATCAGGTCCACAAGGAAAGGTCTGAGTTATGTTAAAAACAGGTAACAACTCATTAACTTTTGTAACTTTGTGCAAGAACTTGATGAAAACCTCCAATCCACACAGATGCTTTTCTCCACGAGTTAACTGTATCTTCACTATTAATTTTTTTCTCTGGAAGGGTTAATTTCACTCTAAGAAATCCCAACTCACTCGTATTTAAAATACCTAAGTGTGTTTTAGTAACACATATGTGGCAAAGCAACTTAGCTTTTCCTTGAGAAAATTGTATCACAGGTAGTATTCACTAGTTCCAAGTGTTCAGGCATTTCATGTGCTAGTAACCAAAAGAACTCTAATCCTTCCAACTAAACCCAAGCATCACTAAAGTAATTCCCTTAAAAGGTCTATTTTATATGCATATACCCAAGAAAAACTGCCCAACTTTATTACGGGGAACGTAGAACTACCTTATAAGGCCATCACCCTAACAAAAGCTACCTACTGGATTTTAAAAATGTACCCTCCCTTTGAGGTTAAATTTATCAAAGCTAGAAAAACACTCCACACAAAAAAATATGTAAGATTACTGTATTTCTGTTTCAACAGATTTTTACAGGTGTCAACCAACCTTTTTCAAACTGGGCACACATCAAATCTAGCATCATGGGGAGTTTTATTGTGCAGCGCAACTTTTAAACTACCAATACAAATGCCAGGATACTACACAAAACATCCACAGGAACGTCTTTCAACTTGTTCTTGAATAATTCACAAACATTTCCTACATAATCCAACATACAACAGAGAAATGGTACATCTTTTTCTTGCAGTTTGCATACAATGGAAAAACATGTATATATATTTATACAAAGTTTAACTAATAGACACTAGAAGATTGACAGTTTAGTAAGTCTGTACGTGAGAAATGTAATAAAAATAATCAGAATTTATTCAGCATCCACCACTTTCATAACCACATTATTTTAATAAAACCCACTGCCAATTAGGCTCCTGGAATATACTTTTTTTTCCACTTTGTAGTACTGCTGATCACCTTAGTTCTTTACAACTAGTAACAGAAAAATACTGAAAAGTAGGGGCAAGCATTTGCAAAAACAAAAATAACTCTCCAGCTTATTTTAAGTATGGCATATATGATGGACCATCTTCCCAAGCAATGACTCAAACAATCAAGGAATCACCAGAACTGAATTTACCAAAATATTTTGCTTGTATGTATTTATTTCCAACAGAGGAGCTAGCTGAAAATCAAATTTAACTGTTTAGTTTGGGGTGCACTGGGAAACTCAGCCACCATATGAAAATTGACTATTAAAAAAAAAAAAAAAGACCACCAAAATAGGTTCACTAAATTTATTTTAAAAATCATAAAACGTTTCTTACAAAAGAGCATTACATTCTGCACACTGCTCTGAACAGATGCCAGGGACATGTGGACTATTGTTACTTTCCTCCCTGTCCCACCCCCCCCCAAATGTTTACAGTGACCACAAAGCAAGGTGCTCACAATAATTACATAGGGGGTAATTTTTAAACCACCAACAATGAACAAAAAATAAAATCCACTCACTCTGCTGTTTTAAAATTTCAGTGTTAGTTTTTGCACGCCCTCCCCCCCACCCTGTTTGTAAGGAACTAAAACATTACATCTGGTGAACAGCAAAGATTTCACTACACCTCAAATGCAGAACACCTATGGAAGCAGAGGAATGTTGGCTTTTTAAACAGAAGCAGATAAAAAAAAAAAAAAGATGCAGGACTCCTTCAGTTCTTCACTAGTCTTAGAAAAACTTTCCAGAATACTGCTTCACACTATAAAAAAGAAAAAATAATCTTGCATTAGAATCCTTCAACATCTGCATACTGCTTCACACTATAAAAGAAAAGAAAAAAAAGTACGAATTAGAATTTTTGTTCGTAACACCTTAAATCAACATCAAGACAATTTCAATGCTAAATTAAATGATAAACATGTCCATTATAGTTAGAAATAAGAATTTTTAAAAAACAGCAATTATAAACAAAAGCAATGTAAAATTCAGGAAAAAATGATTTACAGTAAATCAGACATTAGCAGAGCAGAATTAGAATTAAGAAATGAAACTGAAAGCTGTTAATACTCAGTAGAAAGAGATGCCAGTAAGGTGTGAAATGCTGCATTTTACAGCACCAATCATTTGTCCTGTAGAGGTGGCCTGTGCCATATGGCAGACTGTGATTTGTTGTCGATTTAGTTATCTAAAAACAACAAAATCACTAGTCTTCCACACAGAACTAAGCCAACATCCAATGAATCTTCTATTATTTTCTACAGGCTCTGTATAATTTGTAACAAGTGAGTGGTTTTGGCAGCAGTTTTCACCAGAGAAAATGAGAAGTTTGCTTGGTTAAGGCTTCTTCCAGCAAGATTAGTATTGAATGTCTTCATTTTTAGTAAGAAAGCAGAAGAAAATTAAGGCAAAGCTATTAGAATATTTAGAAGTTAGGTCCCCAAATGGCTGAAACACCAAGAAATCACTTGAGAAGAGCTTTTGAAAGTTTAGTATGCACAAGTTAACACAAAGCTAAACTCTGACTGACCTGTTCTGCAGCAAATACTGTGCATTCTGTATCTGGTCCTGTGTTCCTGTAATGGTAATGATCCGATCTTCGGATCCTTCTAAAGGCTCATCAATTTTGATAGAAGCTCCTGATTCATGACGGATTTGCTTAATCCGCTGACCACCTTTGCCAATAATAGATCCAGCCAACTGAAAAGATTTTTAAATACAAGCATTTATGATGATTTTAAAGAAAAGTTATCACCTGTGTTCTCAATAACCATGAAGAATATTGACTCTGAGGTAATTTACTCAGTGACTCATGAACTAATCTCCTAGTCAAAATTTGGATTATCTATGTGAATACACACTAGTATTTTCTTTAATAAGCTTACTAAGGATCAGAACCTTCTAGTTTTATTAGTTGCACTCAAGTTCACTCAAAAAGGCTCAAACCTCTGAATGAAACCTCACTGTCCTTAAACATTAACCTCAATTCTAAAAGGAAGCTTTAATAAACAAAATCCTTTGAATATAAAGAAAACTTACAGAAGGAGGCAACAGTCATGAAAGTGTTTCATTAAACATTCCTGGTAGCACATTAAAGATACTTACATCTTTGGGAATAGTTACTTGTGTAGTAATAATAGGTCCACCAAGATCACCATATGAGCCACGACCCCCTGCATAGGAATAATCTGATTTAAATAATGAGCATTAAGTTCATTTTAGAAAGAATGAAATAATGTTTGAGTTTATAAAGCAGAAAACTTACCATATCCAGAGCCACCCTAAAAAAAGAAAAAATAGAAAATTACTTTGCCTTCAAAAATAACCCAAGCTACTGTCTTATATAAAATTCCTTTAGTTTAGAAAATAAAAAAACTCCCTAGTGTATTTCCAATCAGCTAATTTCAGAAAACAATCCTCAGGGAAGGGATAAACAGGGATCCAGGTATACAGCATTGCAAAAAAGGGAGGAAAAAAAAAAAAAAAAAGACTTAATAGGTAGGCATCTGAAATGATTCATGTATACACACTAACACTCATCAATACTCAACACTAACACTCATCAATACTCAACCTGGGGTTCATATGCCATCTGCCACTCCGATGGGCTCCATGTATCTATTGCAGAGTCCCAAGTTTCATCGGCACTGAAACCAACCTGTGTTACGAGAGAAGGATTAACATGAACTTGCACTATACTGGTCATAGCGCTACCATTTTTACATGCCCAATTTTCTGAACACTACAAATGTATTGGCAGCAGCAATTAGGTATTTTGAGGAAATAAATATGAATGAAATGATTATCTAATAAAGGTTTTCAATTATAATCTTCAACAAAATTTTACCTTAATTCTTGAGACCCCTTCACAGCCCTGATATAAACACCAATTTTCTTACCATGCCATCATAGCGGTCTCCAGGTCTTCCTCTTCGATCATAGGCCATTAGATCTCTGAAAGTACAATACTTGCTATAGTTGCAGTTCATACATTCACATACCCCAATATGTATCTAAAACACTGAATGCAATCTCTTGTATTTTAATTTACAAATGAAAAACACTTACCCCCCTCTAGGTGGTGGTGGAGGTGGAAGAGGAAGATTCCGGGCTCTGCTACCACCCCGGCCACCTCGACCAGGAGGAGGGGGTGGTGGTCCCCGACGAGGGCTCATATCATCATAATCTCTTCTAGAGGGAGGCATGGGACGCCCACCCCGACCAGGAGGCATTCTGTCAAAACCACCTCTTCCCCGCATGGGAAATCCTACAGGACGTCCACGGCGGTCATCAAACATCATGGTAAAACCACCATAATCGTAAGTTTCATCGTAAAAATTGGGATCATAAGGTTGTGCACGTCCTTTGATGGGAGACTAAAAACAAAAATACAACCACCTTATACAAAAAGAAAGCCTTAGTTCACAGTACCCTTTAAACTTACTTTTCCCAGAATGTAGTGGAGGACAGGACAAATGGACAGTCAAAGACCATAAAAGGACTTTCAAAAATACTATTGGCCACCCTCTCCCCAATAAATCAAAAACTATTTTCAAGTCCATAATGAAAGTGCATTTTACTACCTTAGCAGGAAGAAATAGAAGACTCCTCTTCATAAACTACAAAGCATATACCACACTGGGTCTAAAGTCACTGACTCTGAGGGTGGAAGCTACTGTTATCTTGAGCAAGAGTACAATCTATCCTGAGGCCGTCAAATGGGAATTGCATAATGTTAAAGAACACCACTGTAAGGATTTCTTTGAAGAACTCAGGCTGTATATAAAGCCCTACATGAAATTTCTAGGCAAAAAATGTTACATACTAAACATTATGAAACTACTTTAAGAAACTGAATGTAAGCAGAGTACTTTAAAGGTACCTCAGATATAAGGTCGAGGATGATCTTTATGCACTCTACAACCCTATCAGGCTTTCCTCCAATAAGGACGACTCTGTCAGTGGAATGAGGACAGCATTCTTGGAAAAGCTTGATTGTTGTCTGAGTGTTCTACATTAAATTACCCCCCCAAAAAAAGGATTAGAATACATTGAAAAGACATTTTCTATGTTCAGATTAATTTTGAGTTTCTGTTCACACAAAACCATGATTAACACAGGACCCAACAATACCATAGGCATTCTGACAAAACTTTCTATTGCTCTTGAACTTCCATTACACAAAAGATCATTTACTATGGAATATGGCAGCAGAAAACAAAAATGCCTTTACCTCTCGAAGTTCTTTGATTTTAGCACCTTTGACCCCAATAATTCCTCCTGCCAGACTTTGATGAATTAACAGTCTCAACTCGCAGTCAAAGTCACTTCCTTTATAGTGTTGGTACTGTGGAGGGAGAGTTATAAAATTTTAGTCTCCCAAAAATAATCCCCCAATAACATACTTATCAGCTATAAGCGTAACAATTATATTGTTGCAGTGAGCAACCTGAATTTATATTTCAATAACTTTACCAGTTATGTGCTTATTATCCTCAATAGCCAGGCCCAAAAAGGACATTCTGCACCACCTTAAAAAACTATTTTATTTTCAGGTCCTGCAACACCATACCCACACTGCAGCCATTTAGCATGTCGCTGTTACCACAAAATTATTAACATTCAAATAACACCATAATAAAAATGACTGCAAAGCACTTTGCAAATGTAGTTAATTCCCACTGCAGCATGGAGCAGGGTCAACAGTGAGTTGTAAGACCATTTGTGTATCATGTTCTTAAGCCTTTTTTCTATAGCAATGGGAAAAGTACACTATGTTAAAAATAAAATCAATCCTATGGGCCAGGCTCCATACTTCAGTGGGGTTCAATGGCACTATGACATACATTTAAGCATTCCACAGCATCAGATTCGAGCGGGAGCTGGCTGGTTGCAGTGGGTGATGGCAACTGCAGGCCCTGAAAGTAGAAAAATAAGAGTAATAGGTTAAGTGTCTAGTGTGATCAGGCTATTGTCGCATATATTGGTAAAGCTACTACAACATAGTTTATATCTATACATAATTAAATGAGACTGCTAGCTAAACTTTATGATTCAATATAAAATACCTTATATAACAAGTCAAGGGATAGAGAATGCCAACATCCTCAAGCACCACTAACTTCTCCTTTTGGACATATTCCCACAATTAATGTTTCTAATTAAAGGCACTGTAAAATTAAAGCCTTTAAAATGTATGCCAGACACATGATCACAAGTAGTTCATATCTGAATGGTCACCTTGAATTAAAGTCACACACACTAATATTATGCATTACTCAGCAGGCTACAAGGTGTTGCTGCTACAAACCATTGCAGTTTTTCTTTCCTTCCCAATGAAACATACTTTTATTAAACATCCCCCTTATATGATGCAAATATATTAGAAGAAAAAAGGAAGCCTACCTCTTCCAAGGTAGGGATGATTTTCTTCAGAATTTCTCCAATTGTTTCAATATCAGCACTGATACTCAATATGCTGCCAAACATCACAAATACCAGATAGTACAAAAAAGGTGGAAAAGAAAAATGAGTTTTGTGTTTGCCATCAGTAGTCATATAAACTTTTACAGGAGCAACATTAACAATATTTCCCCATTTAAAGAAACCTATTTATAGATTTTCACATGCATTTTATTTTATGCCCCATACAGACATAATAAACAGTATTAGGAGACTTGCAGAGAGAAGACAGAAAGAATGGGCTTTTGGAAGGGCTCAGATTAAGTGGGCAATAATAAACTGACCAGAACTGAAGCAGAGTCGAATACTTATGTTCCCCGCCACCAAGTTAAGGATACCCTCGCTGTTAACATTGGTAAAACTGGCACACCTTTCTCTTAGGCAAAGTGGGGGATTATGCAAGTGGTGAACATTGTATCTGGAGTAAGGTTATGGATACCAGTTAGCAATTAGATTACTAATGGGCTCTGCAAGAAAACAAATACAAATGCAAGACAAAACAAAGACAATACAAATGAGAAGTGAAGGAAGAGTGAACCAGAGTTAGCATTTCATCAGAAAAATTATGAACAGGCAATGTTGGGAAGCAAGGTGGGCCACAAAGACAGAGCGAGAGACTATTTTGGTAACAATTTGATTTACAATGCAGCAAATATGCAACACTTGAAGCTGTGCTCCTTCCATCGAAATAAAATTAGTGGACCGTTTGGGTGGGCAACTCACGGTAAAAGTTCAGTGACAAAAAGACTTAATGGGGAAAATAAGACAGAAACTTGAAAAACAATACACCGTCTAAAGGGGATACTATTTAATTATATAAAAGGCAGGTAATAAAATACATTTCTCTCTTTCTAATCAGGCAGTGAGGCATAAACTGTTGGGACATACCGCTCGGGGCCACTGCTGTCTGGGACTGAAACACTGGCATTGTACTGCATTGGTCATTGGCGTTCGTGGATGTTGGCATTGGGCATGGGCATTCAATCAGAAGTTGTCAAGTATGGTACCCGTTTGGCAACGAGCACATTTTTGGGCATAGCCAACCAGGGTTTTCACATGGGCGTTCAGGGGCGGATGGGCCAACGTCATGGTGGGCAACGCAGGGGTAAGTCGATCCAGTACATGGGCAACGGAGATATATGGCCAAAAAAACAAGGAGAGGGAAAAGGGGGAAAAGCAATAAATTTTAATTTAATACAAACTATACTCATACTCTCAATTAATGAAACAAGTTTAAGTTGTTCTGAAGACTAACACAATAATGGACTTCTCTATATCTGACTGTGGCTTAACATTTAAGGATCTTAAATGATGGTTCTAGCTGTTAAAAAAAAAAATAAAACGAACGATGTTTCAGTAGCAGGCTGGCTCATGAGGGTAGACACAAAACCTGTCATGACTCAAAGTTTACTGAAATTCTCGAGGAAAGTGGGGAAATTCATAACCCAGATAATACTATAGAACATCTGGATTAAAAGGAGAGAGGTTTATAAAAGACAAAACAAAAATTCCTACACCAAAAACCACAACTAATAAAAGACTGGTTTGGTTTCCTGAGGATCAAAATGCAACCTAGCTTGTAACAGGAAGGTCTGTAAAAATTTTAAACAAATTTTCAAGTTCAGTTTACAGTAATCAAGAGAAACATACAAAGATCTGCGACCAAGAGAGAAATGAAATACTGTCAAATAAGTACTCAACACAGTTATTTGCCTCAATTTGAGCAAGAAAAACATTAAGAAATGCATAACTACAAGAAAAAAATTTAGAAATTTTAGTGTAGCTGAGTCCTATGTTCACTTGTTACTGCCAACATTTAATGTGTCTAATCACAAGAGTCAACCCACTATAAAATACGAAGACTCAAATAATAGGCATTGATGATCTCCAAGGTATATGATTACGTGCCTATTCTTTCTCCACATTTAAATCATGCATCCTCAACCCTAAGAACTCTGCTACACTGTGCAAGCTGCTAAAAGAACTGATGGATGGCTTTTTAAAAAGGAAATAAAAATTCCTGGGTTTTAAATAGCTACCTATCAACGGTTTTTCAGTAATACTTTAATTGATTCACACACTTGGGAAGTGGTTATGATTAAGAACTGTCACACTGCAGCTTTTAGAATTAAGATGTTACCTTGCTTCAAGTGAATAATTTGGTGGAATCTTCTTAGAAAGTGAAGAGGTTTACTATAAACCTTTCACCTTAATCTGGGCTTTTATTAAAACAAGAATGGCAAACCTCAAAATCATGTAACCCAACTTTCACAAATGGTGTGTAGCTATATTAAGTGATTTCCATTATGTAAACCTTCAAATTTCTAGAACACATAAGATGAATCTGCTTGTGCAGTAGCTTAAGTTAATACTTACGTCTGTACGGAGAGCCTTAATATTCTTGCCTCCTTTTCCAATCACTGCCCCAGCATTCTAGAAAAGATACAAAAAAAAATTTTTTTTTGCTTTTCTCTAAAATTAGTCTACCTGTGCTTAACCCCTTCCTCAAATCTCTAGGGGGACAGCATCACTGGGGAGGGGAACAACCAAGATTCTGTATGTGTTAAGCAAAAAATATTTTAAGACTGAGCTTTGGAATATTCAGAATGGCGGCTACACGATTAATTTTAAAGTACTGCAAAACTGGGTGTGGTGGCTCACACCTGTAATCCCAGCACTCAGGAGGCTGAGGCAGGGGGATTGTTACAAGTTTGAGACCAGCCTGGGCTACAAAGTGAGCTTGAGATCAGCCTGAACTGTGTAGTGAGATGCTGTCTCAAAAGAAAACAAAAAAACTGCAAAAAGAAATCAGAAAAATTTCAGCATCATGTAGTAGGCACTTTCACACTGCGACTCAGACAAATATTAACCAAGATGCTTCCTAGGGAGCCCACAATATGATTCAATTCATTAACATTTTAAGAATTACTACTTTTACATTCTTCTGTTAGCTTTGCTTGTAGTACCTTACTGTAGTAAAGACATTTATCTTGTTGATAAAGTAACACTACTATCAGAGATTACAAGTTTTGTTTACAAAGAATCATACAAATTTTCAAACTTTAAAGCTCCGAAAGCTTCCAGAGCCCAACTAAAATTTTAAATCTTAATTTCTATTATCAGAGCCACCTTCAAATTTTTAAGGACAAAATATTATACCTTGCTCTGAAGCAGAATTCGTAATTCAACCATCTCATCGGTGTTCCTAGATCTTTTAAATGCTTGCTCCTCTTCCATATCTTCTGCAGGACGTTTACCTACAAATCAACAGTTCAGATTAAAAAACAAAACAAAAAACTTGCAGAGAACACGAATTAAATTTTAGTATTAACCTGCAGGTTAAAATGATTTCCAACTAATCCTATGTACGTTACAAAAAGAAAATTCGCAATGTTAGTCTTAGCTTTCTGGTCCTTTGTAGTATGATTCAACAAAATACTTTTAAGTATTTTGAAGGACAAGAAATCACAAAATTTTATTTTTGTCGTTTAATTTACCATACAAAGCCTAGTTACTTATCCCCATAAAATCTAAAAACGGAGCTGATGAATATCTCAGCCTAGAAACTGAAATAAGAGATAATGATAGTGTACCAGACCATGCCAATCAAGGGAATAATGAAATCAATGGAATGAAAAATACTCAATTGTTATAATTAAAATGTCTTCTCACCAAATTCACCATTGGTTTCAGTGTTGGGGAAGGTTTCCTCTGGCTGCTCAGTTTCCATTTTCTCGTATTAAATGGACAAACCAATCTATTGAAAAAACAAAACAGCTAGTACATTTGGCTTATTGGAAAGTAAGCTGTGCATCTTGCTCAATATTTTTAAATGTACGACTGTACTTCTAAAACATACAAGTTTCGTATCTTTGCAGAGCAGAACTGTAGTGTGCTGGCCAGGACCAACTAATGCCGCAGTAGCCTATAGAAACCAACACAAATCAGTTTTGCTTTGTTTTGGTTACTACCAAACAATTTTTGATTACAACGTCAGTTTGAGCACAACAAACAGCTATTTCTAGAAGTTGACTTCAGTTTTGAATCTTAAAATTCAAGTCACTGCCTAAGCGAGATTTAAGGGAGGCCAATTTCTTTGCCAGTAAAGTACGCGGTGTCTCACACTGTATTTTCATTAAAGCTTGGAAAGGGACGAGCCTGTGTACTTAAATTTTGTCCACGAAGGCTAAGCTTGTGAAAAGGTATGTCTCACTTACCATGCCCTAACTGTAAACTAGTTATTTCAAATCACTCTTTTCCCCCCTGACTGCTGACTAGAATCGCTGTTCTCTGAACTTTCTAGCTTACAAATACAAGCCAGTCACAAGACTACAGAAGGATAGCTGCAAGGCTCATGGTGCTTCCCTTCACTAACATCGTCACTAGGGAGCCTTTACGACAAGACTATAAAGAACACAGCCCGACAATCACATCTCAACACAAAAGCCCCGGGCTTTTCAAGCCGGCGGAACCGCTCAGACCGCCGCAACGCTCTTTCCTCCCGCTTCCCCAACGCCGGCCAGCGCAATCGCTCCCCTAACGACCGACTACAACGGTTTCCTACCGGCCCGTCTTTCAGTTGGTGGTAAGGTTAAGACCGAGAGAAAGGAATCCACGCAAAAACGAGCAGTCCATCCATAGAGCCGCTACGGCAGGCGGCTCACTTCCCCCTACTCCTCTAACGCCCACCAGGAACGGACCAGGTCTCCTCGCCCGGCGGAATCCTACCCCACTCCGCTCCCACCTCAAGACACCCGCCAGGCGACGGCGGAGCAGTCGCAGCTCTGCGTCCGGACCACAGGAAATGGCGGCCGAAATGGCGCCTGCGCGCTTGAGGCGGAGCGGCGGCCCCTCCCCCCACCACGCGGCCCGGCCGCGGCCCGCACCTCCCCCACTGCGAGACAAAGCAGCAGGGCAGCCGACCCCACCGGGGCCGCTCCCGGCCGGCAGCCGAGTCAAGGGCCCTACACAAAAAGCACGTTACACCTCGCATCCCGGCCGCCTCGCCCAGCCGCTGGTCCTTCTACGTAAGTGTCGGCTCCCAACACTGCACGACTACTGCTCTTCTCCTGGTTCTGCCTCTCCACTCCCCGGATCCTCCAGCTCTGACACGCGAAATGCAACCGTTCGCTCAGGGAAATGGCGGAGTGGGGGAGGGGAGCCCACGCAACGTCTCCTTTCTAAGTGGCTAACCTTCGAACAGCCCAGAACGCCTCCTTCAAGCGGGCAACTTTGGTCAGCGACCCTCGCCCCCCACGCAACCTAGGCTCCTCACCCCACAAGTCCGCCTTCCTTCACTGCCGCGCCGCCTAGACTCTGGTCAGAGCTAGACAGAGAGCTAGTGCAGGCCCCCTCCTCCGCCTCCTACCCCTCCGTTGCGCCCGATTGGCTGCCCGGGTTTCGGCGATGATGCGAGGGCGAGGCGATTGGCCCAAGGCCCTGTCAATCAGCTCGACGGAGAGACGAACACTGCGCCTCCCGCCGGCACCTCCCTTCGGGCTGTGAAGGGACTGGGCCCGAGAAAAGTCAGGTTTGGAAAAAGTGAAAGCAGTCTTGCCGGGAGGCCGAATCCCTACTTGAGTCCATAGTACCCTAACCCCAGTAACTCCAATTACCTATGCTCCGCAAACAAGTGGGATCAGTAGGACGTCGAGAGCGGTGCAGCAGAGAAACGGAGGATAATGGCGGCCGCAGTGCTTTCGCCTGGAGCGCCCTCCTCTTCGCCCGTTCGCGCACTCACTGGCTGGGGGTGGGGAGGGAGCCTCTCGCGAGACGTGAGGACGAGGGTTCGCGCGCAGAGGGCGGGGCCAGGGCGTTTCGGAGCCGCAGGGAGGTTTTCGGCTCCGGGGAAGGGCGCGTGCGCGGCGGGTAGGGCGGGAAGCAGTGAAAACAACGCCGGGGCGCGCGCGCTGGCAGTCCCAATGCTCGTGGCAGCGAGTGTGGGAAGAAGGCCGGATGCCCAGGTGGGTTCTCGGCCTGGACGGCCCCGGGTGTGAACGGCCCGCCGCGCGCCCCACCCCGCACCTTCTGCGTTCTTGGCCCTGCCGGATCGCGGGGCCGCCCTCTCGATGGCGGTAGGCGAGCCGTGTTGCTCCCGTGCTTCATTGTCGGTGCAGTGCTCTGGGAACGCCAGGGAGCGAGCTCCGTATTGAGCTGCAGAAGCGGAGGCCGAGGGGCCGCCCCTCGGTCGCCGCGCTCCACGCGGGCCCCGGTATCGGCAAGGCCGGGACGAGAACAGCAGCCCGCCTGCCTTCAGCGGCCTTCAGCCCCTCAGACCGCCGCGGTCGTGCCCCGAGTCGGCCCCGGCCGGCGTGGACCCGGCTCCCCCCTTCGCCCGGGGGCGTGTTTCACATCTAGTCAGTCTCGGCGTGACTTGGTTTTTTTGAGTAATTTGCAAAAAGGTGACGGCTCCTTAGCCGTTTAGGGGTTCCATCCGTCGGTAATCTTTTTACACGCACTGTGATCAGGAAGAAAACTATACAGTGTCTCTGGTTTTGTGATTGAGCGGCCTCGAACTCGCGGGGATACTCCTGCCTCAGAAGAGTAATTTTGGTGGAACTGAGGGCTGTGAAGCACTAACATTCACGCATACATGTTCGGAGAATGCATTAGTAAAATACAGCTAGGACCAAAGAGTTGTGGAGCTTTTAAAGTTTTTAAATGGTAATACAAATTTTTAATGACCTACACAAAGAAGAATAGACTTTTTTTTTTTTTTTTTTTTTTTTGTCTTTTTGAGACAGGGCCTCACTATGCAGTTCAGGTTGCCCTTGGGCTCACTTTGTAGCCCAGGCTGGTGTTGACCTCGAAATGATTCTCCAGCCTCAACCTCCCAATTGCTAGGATTACAGGCTTGTGCCATCACACCCAGCTTCTGTATAGTTTTATCGAGGGAAAGCATAACTCATATTTTGGTTCTTCTGATTTTGATTAGATATTCATACAAGAATTGGTGAGTGTGTGAAGGAGCTGGGATTACTTAGATTGTAGAGATTTAGTGTGTCAGTGTTTGAAACTTTGACTTTCATTGAAAATCGGAGACATTTCAATAATACTATGAACTCACAGGAGTAGTGTAATAATGATAGGTTTTTAAGGTTATAGTCTGCTTTGATAAGCAGTGATCTATGGGAATCAAAGGAAATTCTATAGTCCTTTTTCACCGAGTTTCACTGTTTTGACTGCAGTCTCTCTGTTACACAGCCTTCTATTGATGAAACTGTGGGACGGTTGTGTACCTGTTAAGATTGTTTCTTCCTTAAAACCGCCTCCCACGCCCTGCTAAAGATTTAGTCTTTGCGCTGAGATGCACCTTCAGTTTTTATTTATTTGGGAGAGGATCTTTAAATGGCCCAGTTTGGGCTGGAATTTCAATCCTTCAACCTTCTAAATCTGTCTCCTGGAATGTTGGAATTACAGACATGTGCCTTTTATTCTTTTAAATTTCTTTAAATAATAGGAAAGTCATCAGTCTTTTTCCCCAGTCCTTTCATCCTCTATGTAAAAACGATAGTTCAATTCGGTTTTAAGCATATGTTCAGGTCTGAGGTTGTAGCTCAGTGGCAAAAAGCCTAGTTCAAGGTCCTGGGTTCCATTAGCACCACCAAAACAACCAGTCAACCCTGGCTTCATTTAAGGGCTTGCTAATTTGATTCACTTAGTGACTTCTGTCTGGTGCAATTAATTGGTGTAAATGATATAAGGATATAGTGTTCATTTTGGATCTCAGTGAATTTAGAGCTAGTGTTAGTTGTGGGATTTACTTTAAAAAGGCTAGTATAATTGAAATTAAACACCGTTATTTAAAATGTTATAACGGTTTCTTGCGTTCTTTGTTGTGTAGGAATTACATCTCTCAGATCTTATGCTGGTAGATTAATGTTTATTGCAATCCTTTTGTAAGCTGTGGTTTTTATTTCACGGGTGAGAAAATTAAAACTAAGAAAAGGTAAAGAACATGTCCTTGATCTTATAACAGAATTGGATTTCAGACTCTTCTCACATTGGGTTATGGATGATCATAAACCTCTGATTATTTCCTTTTGGATTTAGTCATTATATAAATGTTTCCTCAATTTTTAGAGTTAACTTCTCAAAATTATTTTTTCCTTTTCCCTTAAAATTTTTATCAGGTTGGTATAGTGTATATCCTCTATTATTAAGTTATTCGATGTAAAAATAGTACAGCTTTTGGTGTTCTCTTGAGTTACCTTGCTTTGTTTTTCCTCTTAGTTTGCTGTATATTTATCAGTCAAAACTTTCTATATTGAGAGGCATCAGTGGTCCACTGTAACACAGATGTATACCAAGAGAAAGGGTTATGTGAAGTCTTGAAAATACTGGTCTTGCAGTTTCATTTCCTTGAAAAACAATCTCTCCTGATACTGACTGTTCATCCTTATGTTCTGTAAATACTCTTCACCAGAGCGCATTGACTTTTACTTGTGTGTGACAGCAGAATGTCACGTGTTCTTTTTTGGGTTATTCTTCTGTTATGCACACCCTATATTCCAAAAATTATGGGCAATACTGGTTTGAAAATCGTTTTTTATTCAATCATTTGTGAGTAATAGTTTACTTGAGTAAAGAATTACAAGGCCAAAAATAAATTTCATTCAGAAATTTGAAGAAATTGCTCCCGTACCTTCTAGCTAACATCAGGAAACATAAAGCCATTTTTATTGCTCTTCCTTTCAGTGTGACCTGTTGTTATTTCTCTCTTGAGGAGCTTGCAATTTTCATTCCTGGTTGCTAAGATTTTGCAGTGATGTACCCTGTGTTTATCCATTGTGTGGGTTCCTTTCCACCTGTAGCTCCTGTCTTAAAGTTCTGGAAACTTTCTTAATTTATTTTTTAAATCCTCCTCTTTGTTGTATATCCTGTAAAGTTTCCTGAGCTATCCTTTTCTTTAAATTTTTCTGTCTCTTCTGTGTACCAATGACTTCATTGTACTAATGTTTTACTTCTGGTGATTTTCTTTATGTTGCATGTGTTCTACTGAGTTTGTCATTTTTGCTCTCATATTTTAAATTCCTCAGAGTTTTTGCTCTCATATTTTAAATTCCTTTTTGATCCTAAAAATATCAGTGGCTCGGCCAGTTCTTTGTAATAGCATCCTATTTTTATGAATATGATATTTTATCTGCTTGAAAATATTAATGATAGAGTTTTTAAAGTTTTTTTAACCCTTCATACTTGTCACTTTTTTTTTTTTTTTTTAAATCGGTACCAGGGATTGAACTCATGACCCGCCTGCTTGCAAGGCAGGTGCTTATGCCGCTGAGCTAAATCCCCAGCCCCTGCTTGTCACTTCTTTATGTTTTTATGTTTGATATAATTTCTTGTTAGAGGCTTTTCTCAGATAACATCAAAGTTAAGACTGGGGAACTGGAAAGCTGATTAGAACTCAGGAGTACAGAGAAGTCTGTAGTAAATGGGCTACTGAATTGGAAACCTCTTGTGTTAATATCTTTAGGTCTTTCCATTGGTGGTTAAGATTGGCCCAGGGAAAGATTTTTCAGTATCTTCTCTGGAGCGTATAGGCCATATTGCTGAGATTTTTTTTGAGCTTTGTAGACAAATTTACTTGTTTTTCCTACTTTCATTGTGGTGTCCCTTCAACTGTCACCTCCAATCTAGTGACAGTTTTATTTCTTCCCTCTGAGGAGTACAAGGAGTAGTTATTCTTTCTGATGTGGACTAGTGTTGTGACAGGCTTGAAGGTGTTATGTTCTGTCATGGTTTATGCCGGTGGGCCCCCCTCCCCCCTGCAAGCGTCAGGCAGTCATGGATATGGCCAAATCTAGCAGTTGTGATTGGTTTGTTGTCTGCCACTGAAATTGGTGGTGTGAGTGCTGCACCTGCCCAGAGGTGGAGCCAGCATACAGTATAACAGCAGAAGTGTCTTTGTCTCGTGCAGTTAGTGCTTTTTGCTGTTACAGCTGCCACAAAGGACTGTCTCTCCACACCACATTGCCTTGGAGTCAACTGAGTATGGACTTGGGGGCAAGAACTGTAAGAAATAAACCTTTCATTTCTTCATTTTGGGCATCAGGCATTTGGTCTCAACAATGAGAGAAAAGTAACCAAGTCAAGTTTCTCCATTCAGTTTCATTTTTAAGAGTCTTCCAGGCATATTTGGTTTTACCTTTTGTGGGTTCCATCAGCTTAGCAGTCTATTTTCTGGTAGTTATGTACTACTTCTCTATTTGTGTGCCAGTTTTTAAAATTTGCTGACATTGTTTCATTCTTAAGAGTTTTCTTTATTCTTATAGTTTATGACTTTTTAGTAATCTGCTTTTCATGGAGTTTTGGAGGATTATAAGAGTGTATGTTAGCATTTGGGAGGTTGAAGCAGAAGGATCACCATGAATTCAAGGTCAATCCAGCCTACAAGGAGAGTTCATAGTCTAAGCTACATAGTGAAGTGCTGTCTCAAAAAGACAACAAACAGAGGGCATGTTTCCAATTCTCCACCTTACACTTAAATACAGTCATATTTTCCTATGGAATTCTGCAAGGGGCATCATGGTGGATAAATACGTCTGACCATATTTTTTCTTTCTTTTTTCTATTTAATTTTTTTATTTTAAAGAGAATAAAACAAAACAACAAAGCAGATCAGAACAAAATGCAAGCAACACAGGATTTCAAAGTGACAATAGGAAATCAACAGTGGCTACCATAATGTCTCTTGTTTTCTTCAAAATAGTTGTTTCACACACAATGAATTCAACAAAACAAAACAGTATAAAACTGATCAAAACAAAAGAATGAAAGCATTACAGGCCTTCAAAACCAGACAGTAGGAAAATCAACAATGTCTCTTGTTCTCTTCAAAATAGCTGTCCGTATCTTCACACATACTGAAATTAAATAAAACCAGTCAAAACAAAAAATAAAAGCATTATTGGACTTCACAACAGGATAATGGGAAATCAGCAATGGCTACCATAATGTCTTG